AATTGTACAAGCATTTCTTATCCATAAAAATTATCAGATTTAAAACACAAGTAGCTGTCAATTACTTGGTAATTCACAATAACGATTTGTGACGGAAGAACATCTTCATTCTGAAAAAATTTCAACTTAATTGTATTTATAGAGAAACTGAAAGTTTTCTTCCTGTATATTTTCATGACCATTATATTACAAATTTTCATGTATTTAAGATTCACGTTCTCAATTTATCCACAACATAAATCTGTTTTGTAAAGCATGCAATTTGTGAATACAGAAGACAATGATGAACCAGACAGAAATGTTAATAATGATGAATGAATTGACTCATTTTCTGCTCATTAAATCAAAACTTGAACATTGTATTTGTATCATTAAAATTCAATATTTCTTTCAATTAAATTAAAATCAAACATTAAAAAATGTTTGAGATCATCAACCGATTGACTAGTGCGAGTGACTAGCTTCGTGGAGGAAGTCTCGAAGTTGTAGTGAGAAACTGTGACCACTGTAGCTAATCGATGTCAGATAGAGACAGATATTTGCGTTAGTATAGTAGAAGGTGGTCGCTCAATTTCGTGGATTAATTGAGGTTAGACATTGACACTGTTTGATACCGTCTCAGTTGTCTAGAACTATGTGTTCGCACACGAGCTTAACTTCCCTGTTCTCGAATCCTAGGATCAGGATTGTGGATGGGCACAACTATGGTGTCTTATAATAGGACGAACTGGCCGACCAGTGCTTCCCGGTATACAGTGGTGGTCTAACATCAGTCGGTTCATGATCTCAATCAAAAACTTATAAATCTCCACAACCCAATATTGATTAGAAAATGAAACAGTATTATATCATTTGGAAGTAATAATAAACCTTAAAGACAAATAAATTTACCCGTTAGCACATTCATGTTATAGTCCCTCACTTTTATAGTCTATCGCTTGTAAATTTTCTAGTCATTCTACTTGTAAGATATGTGAGTGAATATTCACATTGGAAAGTAAAACCTTTATAAGAATAATGCATAAATGATTATCTAGTTCTTTGCATAACAAATGTTATATAAACTACATAAAATATTCACGTTCCTATAATTATTAACAATATGCTCGCTTATTTAAATGTTCTAACTTTTACGAATTTTGACCATTTATCCTCTGAAGTAGTAGCTTACACTGAGTCACGAAACATCAGAAATTTTATCTTTCTATTTAATGCGGTTATTATAAACATATTAATTTGATAATACTTGTAGACGTTTGTTTTTTCCTGAAAATAACAAACAATGATATTTATTAAATTCACTTGGATCTTCCGATTGTTATTTAAAACTGTAATTGATTAGTCTCATATTGGCAATATGTGCATCTTTTGCCGACTGCCGCGATATTGCCTTAGATCACAAGCCTAATAATGATATTATAATATTTACTATTATAGGCTTATTAAGTTTTAATATACTGGTAAATTTTTCAAATCATAAATATTTACATGTACAAATATAAAGCTTATCAGTCAAAGATTTAAAATATGGTGAAAGTATAATTTATGGACGACATTTGAGTGGCACTAAAGTCACATTGACAGTGGACACCTACTGATAAGAACTGAATGAGGGTTATAGAGCAATTAGAATTATGATTTACAGTTGATGGTTAGGGCTTAAAATTAGATCTACGGTTTTCATCACTAACTGGCATCAGCCAAATGGATGGACGAATTTCGAGCCAACATTCGTTACTCGTTATCTTATATTTGATTGGTTTGTCCATAAATTATAGTCTCGCCTAAATTGTTATTAAACTTGAAAAAAATTTTCTATAAAAACATTGAACTGGAAGGTAAGATAATAAATTCTTGGATGAATAATCGAATTCCTACAGGACATATAGTGTTGTTAAATGAGTGGAACACAAACGAATAATAAATAAAGTGAACATGTTTTTTTATTGGAAAGTTGTTATTAGCAGATTTCGGAACATGTATAATTAATGATAAACAACCTTATCATGAAGGTAAACAATGATCATAATGATACATCGCTAAAATCTTAAATTACCCATATTTTCATAATCGGTTGGCGTTTTTTAGCAAGGTTTTTCTCTACCTGTAATTCTTCTAGAGATACTGCCAATTCCAAGCTGGGGTAAAGGAGGTTGTTGCGCATGGGAATCGACAACCCCATCCCATAGAGAAACATCTTGCTAAAAAATGCCAATATTTTTATTATTGCGTTTTTAATAAACGAATATACGTTTTATAGCATTTTATCCAAAAGTCAATAGTTTATTTCAATAATAATAATAAGCAATTATTTTGTTAATTGATCCTAATAAAACTAATGATATTAGGCTACATGAATAAAGCAATAATTTGCTGATTAACTTCACATGGAACAGTTAATTATTTGGCATTCATTTATAGAACGGATACATATGAATGTGATGAGATTAATTGTAAATCACAAGTGAATAAAATCGCTAATTCATAGTATGAAATAATATAGAAAGCATTTTTACTGAAGTCCAAGGTACTGGAAATTACATTCATTTAAGTTTATTTTTAAAGTATGATTTAAACACCGTTGAATGCCGGCTAGCTCAGTGATCTGGTGGTTAAGCGTTGGCGCGAGAGACGGATAGGTCCTGGGTTTGAATCTTGCGAGACGGGATCGTGGATGAGTTCTGCTGAGGAGTCCCACATTACGATGAAAGGATCGTACAGTGCTTCCAGGTTTGCCATTGTGGTCTAGCTTGAATTGACTAATGATCTCGACCATTATAATTTAAACATAGAAAAATGTGAACCGACGAAAAATAGTTTATTCATAGAGGAAAACGAAAGCTTCTTCATCAAGTGTGATCTGATTGGTGCATGCTGTGTTGTATTGGAGAATCTTGCTTTTCCTTTTGTGTATATTGAGATCTACTGCTGCTGAGGGTGCTGCTACACTATTCGTCTTTTCCTGCCTTTGTTGTTGCATGTGCGATAGATGAGCCAGATGATCTGCGAAGTCTAGATCTTCCAGCTGCATCCAGGCTGTCCACTGTATCCCATGCTTCGCCCCAGATTTTGACGTCTTAATGATCCAGTCGTTCACCAGGAGGAAAAGAAAACGGTGAGAGTTAGCAATCTTGCCTTACACCGGTCTTTACTTCGAAAGAGTCTGTGACCTGTCTTCTATGCACGATTTTGCAGTTTAATCCATCATAGGAATTCTGTATGATATTGACTATTTTCTCAGGTATGCCGTAGTATCGAAGAAGCTTCCATAGTGTTGTCCTGTCCACACTGTCAAATGCTTCCTCGTAGTCGATGAAGTTGATGTAGAGTGGTGCATTTCATTCAATTGACTGTTCCACAATCATCCGTAGTGTTGCGATTTGGTCTGCTTGAGGTGGAGGTATGTTTATATGTAACACAATATTAAGTTAATTGAACTTGACCAAAATGATTTGAAATCGACTGGAACTAATGTTTTGAAAACTTTGAATATATAATTGGGTAATACCAATTAGATGTTTGCTTTGAAGACTCAGTTATATTCAATTAAATAACTAATATATTATAACAGTTGATTGTCATGGTAGGTTTCTTTTTTGTTGTTGATATAAATCAAACTATCGAGCAGTTTTATATTCTTTAGTAATGACTTCCTTTAATGGCTAGAATTATTTTACTGAAAAAACTAAACTAATTTTTTTAGCATCACAAAATTGTTGAAAGTCACTGAAAAATCACTTGTATGTCATAATTATTAACTTATATAACTATTCACTAATCACTTTTATTTAAAAGCAAAAATTAATCGAAAAAATCTCTTAACAACTAACAGATTATCAGAGGGGGTTTTGTGGAGATTTTAGAAATTTCAGTAGTTGAAACTATGAGTCAATTGAAACTAGACCACCATGAAAAGCGGGAAGCACTGGACGACCGTTTCGTCCTAGTATGGGACTCCTCAGCAGTGCTCACTTAGCGCTTCCAGGTTTTCCAATAGTGGTCTAGCTTCAATTGACTCATGATTTCAACTAGTGAAACTAAGAGATTGTGAAGTAACTAAGATGCTTGTTCTTGAAACCTTATCCCTTAGTTCATAGATGTAGGAAAGATACACGTAACAAGAAAACAATCGTTTAACCGTTGTATATCTGCTTTATCATGACAACTCAAATAAATAAAATAGAGAATAAATTCAGTCCTTTCACACTTTCTTGTTTTACTGGGTTTTTTTAAACTTCAGAAGATTCGATTGTAGATTTAGTGCATATCTACCCCTCTATTTAGAAAAACATAAGTAATAACTTATAAATGAAGTGAACCCATCCTATTATTGTCATCATTTTTTTTATTCAAAAGTACTGCAGTCCATTTAAATCAATTTGTATTTAAAGGGGGGGCATCAAACTTGGTAAACAGCAAACAGCTATACTGCTACCAAGTCCTAATTCAATTTTCATATCTTGGAATGACAGTTTACATCCCCGAATGCTTAAAAATTATTGAAATTTAATAATGAAGACTCATTTGCTTTCGGACTAAATTTTATTTTACAGTTATGATCAAATTGGACTGTTTAGTGATCACTTTGAATAAGAGAAAATGTCCAACTTCTAACTTCTGTCGTATTTCAAACAAACTTGATGCTGTTGTTTGAGAATTTACTTTTTTTTAAGTTCAAACTTATGTTAATACTTGCTGAAGGACTATCAAACTTTATACACAGCTAATATGTTCCAAATGAAAATTTGGTTTACCAAGTGAACAAAAAGAATTGTGACTATCAGAATAAATACATTTAGAAAAGGTGGCTTTCAGCTCTTTGAACCCATTGTAAACTACTCGTCATTTGATTCAAAGCTTATGTATTACACACAACAAAATAGTTAATAATCAGAGCTAAATTATTTTTGACTGTTTACCAGATTTCAATATTGATTACCAAACAAAAACTATTTTTTAATAAAAACTATGTTCATTTTTCTTTTTCTCTGAAACACCAGGAAAGAGTCATGGCAAGTCAGTTAACTGGTGCAAGACTGCTCTTGCACCCTGGTGCTTCTTATCCTCGTGTAGCTGAAGAAGGTGTAAATTTAATGCCAGGGACAATGACTGATATACGATTTACAGTATATGAATGGTCTATGATGGAACCACCTCATGGTAGATGCAGTAAAAATACACCACAGTTTATATCATTTAATAATGTTAACTATACTTTTAGCGAAGAAGCATGTCATGCACATATGGTGCAAGAAAAAGTCGCTTCAAGTTGTCAATGTTTAACGCAACATTTACCAATTCCAACGCATTTACTTGGAAAAGATTTAAGAAAATGTCAAGCATTCAAACTTCCAGCAACTTATCAAATGTTAGATAACTTTAACGAATCCAAACAGTTATACTTTAATGATGAAGCAGTTTCCACTTATGCTCGATTTGCAGAGTGTGCAGAAAAAACTGGAACAGCTATGGATAGTTATCAAATAGGCTGTAGACCAGCCTGTGTTCGATACACATACAAACCGAGCATAACAGCTGCTCAATGGCCAACCAAAACATTTCTAACATGGTTTGTTACAAAAGTAAGTTTCGGATAGTCAGTACATTAAGCTTATTGTTATCATCTAATAATATATGATCAAAAATGCTTCTTCCGTTACATAAGAAGTCTGTTTGTCTAATAAATCTTAACTCTAATTACTACTGTCAATAAAAATGGGTCTATTAGTAAATGTTACTTGCTGATTAACGACTTACAATTAAAGATACAGATACAGTTTTAATTCATTAACCGTATCCCAAAATCAATTATTTAATTATAAGTAACTGTATAGTGCATTTGTTTAGGTGTAAAATAATTCATATGCGCGCAAATTAGTTACAGAACAAAACCATAGTATTTAAAGATAAGGTAAACTGAAATGCGTCTTTGATTACATAAATTACCACTTTTTTCCTAGAATCTTATTTTCCTTAACAAATAACACAGATAATGTCGTTAGATTATAGACTAGTAACGATAACCCAAAGCAGCTGAAATTAAAATATTTCTCTACTAGACATTCTTTAATTGACAGTTGTCTTCATACAATATTTATATTGAATCGGTTTTTTCTTGGTTGTAAATGTTGTAGTATTTATGAAATAATTAGAATTTATTATAAGTGTCAAGACTTATAAATAAGTTTCACCTCTGATTCTTGGTAGATCAAATAATTCACAATATTCATATTATCATTATAAGGATTTGGAGATAATTGAGCTTTACTGAAGTCATGAACCGACCAATGTTGGGCTACCATTGTAAGCCTGAAAGCACTGCACGGCCATTTTGTATCAGCATGGGGCTCCTCAACAACCCGCATAGACCACCTCTTATGCTGGAATCGAACTTAAGACTTTCGATCTCGTTTGTGAATCCTAAAACTCTAGACCAAAGATGTTAACGTTTAATGAATGTCAATTCATGATATAATGCGGCCATCTTATATTGTCTTTGGTGAGTAACTGCCTCAAAACAGACATGGTTGAATTCCACTGGTCACGGTTTTTCACTAGAACTCCAGAAAATACATCTTGAAACCAGTCACTACTGAGGACAAGATTATTGTCAGAATAGGGATTTTGTGGAGATTCTAGTAATTTAATAGTTGAATTCATGAACAGATTTAAACTAGATCACCACTGAAAACCTAGAAGCACTAGACGGCTGTTTCATGCTATTATGGGACTCCTCAGCAGCGCGCATTCACGATGCCGTACGTGGGACTCGAACCCAGAACATTCGGTTTAACCTGTAGATCTGTAGGCCGAAGGTCCTATGTTTGAGTTTCATGTACGGGATCGTGGATATGCACTCCTGAAAACTCCCATAATAGGACGAATCGGCCGTCTAGTGCTTCTAGGTTTTTAGTGATCTAGCTTATATCAACTCATGAATTCAACTATTAATTCAAATAGTTTAAAATTTGAACGCTTCAGTAAATTGGACTGTCTACGAAAATATTTTAGTTATTTATGTGGTAAATCAAACAATTTATACAATCAGTATTTAGATATCGCAAACAAGGAATCCATAGAATAGATCTTACAACTAATCGATATATATATATTGTTATTTCATGAGGAAACGTGAACATAGAATAACCAGTTTAATATGATAATAATTAAGATCATGCAATGTCTATAGAATATATGTAACTGAAGATGAAATGTAAAGCTAATACGCTAAAAATGATTCATATTTTGAACAAGATAAGCTACTTAGAATAAATGTTATTTTGATTTGCTAATAACCGGTTATTATTATTAGAGAAGAATCAGCAAAGTAACAACGAAAGCCATCAAATGATTAAAAAACATCAAAGGTCAAAAGAAAGAATAAAATTTTTCAGGTAGAAACACTTTTAATTTCATTAATTGTTAAGAAAGCATTGCGTATTATAAAATAATCATTCTATTTTCTAGAGCTTAACAACGTTATTTCTATTTTCAAGAGTAGATTAAAATGTTTTAGAAAACCTTTCAGGGAAAAATATAGATTATGTGTACAATCAATTTAATATTACTAAAGGAAATACTTTTACAGTTATATGTGAAGTTAATCTAAGGATTCAAAAGAAATATATCTATATATATTCGCAGTACCATATAATTAATCATTTTCATGTGTATTATGAATTATAGTTTTAATCATTTTCTGAACGCAATATTTGATTGTTGAAACAAAAGTATGTAACACTAATTGATAGATGATATCCAGTAATACGTAATATGCTTGAGTGATAACTTCTCACGAAAATAAATTATTGACTAATCTCTTCATCTTCGATGATTTGAAGTTAAAGACAAATGCACGAACTGAAAGAATAGGTACCTTTATGCATTAAACTGACATAATTATACACAAAATATTAATAGAAAAATTAACATGATCAATCGATATGGGCAGTTAAGGGAAATCAGTTTGTACGTCACTAATTCTCCATGTAATCAAAACCAGATTATTCGGCTCACTTATCAATTGTAGTAGTATTCATTATAAAAGTAACTTTAGGAAATCGTAGTGAGACTATAATTTATAGACGACCTTTGAGCGACTCTAGGGTGACGTTGAAAGTGTCCACCTAATAACTAGGACCAAATGAGGGTTATGAACCAATGTGAGTGATTAGAATTATGATTTACAGTTGATGGTTAAGGTTAAGAATTAGACTTGGGGTTTTCATCACGAACTGACAACAGTTATAATACCAAAACTCTATTTAGCCAAATGGATGAGTGATATTCGCGCCAAAATCCGAGACTTGTTATTGTATACCTGATTGGTTCGTCCATAAATTATAGTCTCGCCGAAGTTGTAAAATAACTGAGATTAACTGAATAAATGTTACTCAAAGAAATCATTTCATTCTTAAATTGTGTTGACTGTTTATATACTGATAAAACTTTAAATAAATGACTATTAAATAGTAAAATGATAAATCACTTGTTAAAACAAAGTCCCTACTGATGTACAATATGGTCAACATGAATTAAACTTAGAAAATAGATAACTTTAAACAAAGATTGATTTTTAACCAACATATTACCCTTCAATAATCTTCAATACGAACGTCAATGCAGTTCTACTGTACAGAGCTGAAACTTGGAGAACTACAACAACCACAATCAAGAAAGTACAAGTATTTATAAATAACTGTCTACGCAAGATACTCAACATCCATTGGCCGGATACCATCAACAACAGCCTTCTCTGGGAGAGAACAAACCAGTTCTCAAATGAAGAAGAAATTAGGAAAAGACGATGGAAATGGATAGGACATACATTATGCAAATCATCAAACTACATCACGAGGCAAGCCCTAACTTGGAATCCTGAAGGGAAGAGGAAGAGAGGAAGGTCGAAGAACACATTACGTCGGGAAATAGAATGAGATATGAAAAAAATGAATAACAACTGGAAGGAGCTGGAAAGGACTGCCCAGGACAGGGTTGGATGAGGAATGCTGGTGAGCGGCCTATGCTCCTTCAAGAGGAGTAACAGACGTAAGTAAGTAAGTAATGTTACCTAAAAATCATGTTTGTTTGTTTGTTTATATTATATAATCAGATTATTCTAAATATAATTCATTGAATTTTCCTTTATAGTTTATAAAAGAAATGGAAGCATCCGGTTATTCACGTTTAAAATCAACAAATAATGAAACATTAACTATATTTAATGAACGTATGGAAGAAATTCGTACACCATTACAACCTTATGAAATAATTTCTAATTTAACTAAACAAGGTCATTTACAAGAAGCAATTAAAATGCTTATGAATACACAAATATTTGAACAAAATTTTTTATCTATTATAATATCACGACCAAATTTTGATTTAGAACGTGTTGAAGAAAAAGCTGTTGTATCATTAACTTCATTATTTAGTCAAATTGGTGGTTTATTAAGTATATGGATTGGATTAACATTTGTATGTATTGTTGAATTAGTTGAATTAGGTTTAAATGTAGCTGATGCTGTAATTCATTATAAAAAATTAAAATCTTAAATTTATTCTTATTATTCAATGCATTTCAATGATTAAAAGTTGGATCATTTCAATGTTCAATTTATGTAAGAATACAAACAAAGATGATTATAATCTATGTCTTTCTTATAGGGAAGATAATATGAACAATATGAACAATTCATATAATATAAACACATATATTTGTTATTTTGAATTAATTTTTAAATAACTTTAAGTAATTTATTTTGATTATAATACACAAGTTATCAATGTAAACTTTATTATTATAAAAATAAAATTGATAATGAATGGATGAATGAATGAATGAAATCATTGAACCCAGATTCTTATAAAATTAATCAAGAAATAGATGAAGAATATATAGAGTTGATTTTCACTTTAATTTTCTATTCAATTATTTTGTTTTGTTTGACGTTTTACGATTATAATAAAATACAACAAGCATGAAGAATAAAAGTGTTCACAAATGTAGAGTTTAATGATATTACTATGTTCTATTATATTCTTAGTTGTTAATATCTTATCTGTTAATATACCGTCTATAGTTCAGAACTTAAGAGTATTGAATAACTGTTTTAATGGATGTTCAGTATATTAGATTGATTTATGTTTGAAAATATCTCTTGCACATTCATAACCTGTTATGACTTTAAGGTCGGCTAGTTATCACGTGATTTATTCGCTAATCGAAATACGACTTATCTAATCTTAGTACTATGTCAAAACAATGACGTTTGACCGGTATGAGCAGCCTAGCATCCTTATTGGTCTTTTGTTGGCCTAGCCCGTCCATTTGAGTCTAGAACATCAATAACAGATCTCACTATGGGAATCATTTATTTCAAACATACTTGGTTTATATACCAGCCAAACAGACCGCATCACACTATAAAATAGGTAATAATATTTATGCAAGATCAAACCAGAAAGTGGCCGTGAACGTGGGAGACTGTAGTCAACAAACTGAATATAACTTGAGAATAGTAAACCGTACAATGATAATCCATAGGCCAAAATGAAGCTTATAATAAAATGAATATAGATATACATAATCAAGTTACTGAAGAGTTATACAATAGGAATATTTATATAATATTAGCCCATTAATAGTTCTCAGAAGTTACTGGTAGAATATAACATAAGGCATTAAAATAATGATTACAAATGTATTAAAGTTCACTGACACAGAATGGATTAACTGCTGCTGCTGTGAAATAGTTTAACAACTAGATTTTATTTATATCAATAAAATATTTTTAAAAAAAGAGACTTAAGAAGCACTAAAACACTTTCTAAAATCATTTTTAATTTATCATTTCAGATTTTTGTTATGAGACTTAACCATAAATCATGTATCAACATCATTTCAGTAGCCCACTTTCGAGTTGAGCCGTCAGATGTTTCACAATAATTCATTCATTGAATAGCTTTCTCTTTTACCAGACTAGGGAGAAATAAACAAATATAACAAAGGGTTTATTTAAAGTTATTTATGCTGGCAAACTCGTCCATCAACATAAAATAAATGTCTGAGAGGAAATAAATATGTCGATAATATAGCAGTTTAAATAAGCATCCATGGATTATCAGTCAGTTTCTCTATCTGGGAAATTAAGAAGTCTGGTTGCTTGCTAGGTTTTCATTTTAGTTGTTTGATGTTTTTCATGACTACCATAACTTATGACTAGGAACTAAACTTTTCTGCGAATTTAAATATGTGTCATTTTTCGAATAATGGGAATCAGAACAATAGAAATGAAAATAAAGTTGAGTGTTTCTAAGCAAAAATGGGCAAATATGCTAGGTCGAAAAACCATGTCATAAATTCGCTGAGTTAGTCAATGGAATTATATATGTGGCTGTCAGTTGATTTTATTTTTATGGTAAATTTTTATAGTGTAAATGGACTGAGAGACAAAAAGATGTGGTCCTGTAACTGTCTTAAGCTCGTCCTATGATATTCCCAAGTGTAGCTGTGGCAGAAGGTCTTGTGATAGTACGTGATGTGATATGATTCATGTAGTTCTTACCAAAGCATTGATTTTCTAAAGCTCTGTGGAGATATTATAATCTGATGTCTAGTTTACTTAATGTACTAACAACTAACACCTGATCAACTCAGCTGGACAAATAAGTAAACAAAAATTTAATGGAAATCTGTGTTGTTTCTTAACTCGTGTGCAGTTATCGCAACACATGAATAGTAATTTTAGTTGTGTGAATAATCTTCTTACTCGCTATAGTTTACCGTTACTTCCATACGACTTACGATTTTGCTCTAGAATGTCATGTGATCTGTTTGATTATTATCAAGATCATGATACACACAGAAAGCAATGATTAAATCTACATACTGTTTCTTTTCTATTTTGTTATTTTTTCATTGTCTGATCACCTCAATCATAAATGATAACCATTCGCACTCACTAGAACTTTATTTTCTATAATAGTACTGTAGTGAACAGAACACGGATGGGGACAATCGAATGTATTTAACACAAAATACAGGACTTGTTAATAAAATCTAACAATCATAAAGTAAATGTTGTATCCTCTTGTCCCTGTGCTGCCAGACCTTCCGTTCACGACTAACATCATATACTACTTATGCCAATATAAGAAGCACACACCACAGTACTAATCAAAGAAAAGCACAGATAACTAAGGTATTATTTTCCCTGAATTTAAGGGATGTTTGTAACCACATGAATTTTTTTTACACAGACATCAGTCTTAATATTTTTGTTCTGTATATATGAAAATGTGATTCTCGTATTTTAAGCGCTTTCTTGATTTAGTGTTTTACCTAATCTCCAGTGATTCAAAATAAAATAATTTAAAAGATCACCATTCCGATAGTATTAAAATACTCTAATTTTAACATAGTATGCATTTAATTGGTTCTTCTATAAGAAACGAATAGTGATACCGAATAGTTTATCATATAAGATATTAATTACATTTTATTAATCATAATCACAAATTGGCAATTAGAAACCTTGGAAGCTTCAGTTTTATGGCATCAGTGCTCCCCCTCCCCAGTCTTTAATTTTTATTACTAATCTCTTTCTTCATAAATTGAAATATATGAGTCTTGCCTATAAATTTTATCGCATACGTATTTCAGTCTGCCAATACATTCTTTAACATTATTCGTTACTAGTGACAATATATTGTCTTAAAACTTCAAAAGAAACTTGGAAAACTCGTAGTGTCTTTTCTGAACAAATATTCCTTACTTTTATAATGAAGTGTTTTATATAAACACATAGTTATAGATATTAGGAACACTGGCAACAAACGAATAATAATTTGTTTGCAATAAATAACTTTGTAAATATTCTAATTAACGTATTATTTGTATTCCATAAATATAAAATTATGAGTGTTTATTTATTGACATAATTATTTTTGGTGTCAAAATAACTGTGTGAATATTGTCTGAAATTATCACTTATTACAGATAAAAATATCATATGGTATTATTTGAATTTTTGGTCTGAAACTTAGAAAATTATTCCGGAGCTACAACCCGTTTTTAAGGCCAGATCACTGGATATAGATTAGTTTACTAATCCTCGTCAAGGGCTAGGACAACCAATGCGCGTCGCTCAGTTGTACTCCATGGACTGGCTCGCGAGGTAATGGTCCTACTCGCTCTTGTACCTAACCGTACTAATATTGGAAGTAATAACATTGTTTGTGTTGTACGGTCATCGAAGTAGTCATAGTACCTGTATACGATAAAAGGGTAATCCATATTGTGCATTAACCGTGAGATGTGACTTCGACGTAAGTTGGTTGGTCGACCAATTTCTGCTAAACTCGAGTAGGCCCTCAATGTAGCTGGATTCTTAATATATAACTGCTAATAAATGATAACAGGAGAATTAATACAGTTCGATTACAGTAATGAACAAGGACACAGATATGATGATACACGAAATAACCAAAAATCTTTTAATGACTCGCCAACCACATTATTTGTCTGGTTTCATGCTGTTGTAATAGATGGCTAAATAATTTAAGTCACAACACTATGGTAAGTTGTGCGTAAATTATCTTGCTGTGAAGATTTATTTGCGAGGAATATCTTCCCAACACTTAAAAATCACTTAACTTCTAACCTACTGTCCGTCAGGCAATAATATGCAGGAAGATAAAGTCGAAGATCACAAAAATTATACAAATAAATTCAAAGACAGAAACTAAGCATGCACATTTCCAAGTATGAAGATAAGGATATTGTTTACAAGGTCGTTCAGATAAAATCTTTTAGCGGTATATAAATCCCCAAAATCAATAGCTCTGTAAGTCTTCGTTATTGGATTCTAACCACATTACTTTTAATGGACTCACCTAGCTGAAGGCGCTCGGTTAAGCATCCACACCAGATCACGAGTGGGAACGCTGTGCTCAACATCCACTGCAATCGCTAGCCAGTCAAGATCAGTCGATCCTCGATATATTGATAGCCTATAAAATATATCTTCGAACCTCCTCGCTTTTATCTTTTGATTTCACTTGGTGGGTACGACTCATACCAGGTGTTACTTGTTAAAGCGTCGTCAAGCTCCAAATACCTGTGTTATCTTCAATCTTAACTGTATGTGACGTCAAATATACACCTCATATTAGTAAAACCATACTTGCTTGCTTTTGGCGCTATCGGGTAAACACGAATCTCTTTCTAAGTTTCCTTTGCAATTGTTCCACATTGAATATCTAATACTTCAGAATTCATTTTACATGTAATCGTGTGGATGTGTGAGAAAATCCCTCCATGTATGTTTCTCCCTAAAACATTTACAAAGTTTTCCTCTTTATGTATAATTTCTTCGATTGTTGTTGTTATGTCTCTCTTTGTTAACAAATACCACTATTATAGTGATCACGATCTCTTAGTTTCTATCAACTCTTTGATGTCGTTGGGGTTATCGATCACTACTTCATTGTTTTACATAGTCTTTTAATATAGATGGCTGCTATACCGGGTGACTGTATTCTTGAGTGTTGCTGTTTGTTACACTGAAATGACTATCCGTGAGGGATACAAGTCACGTCTCCTATTTCTTGGAAAAGCATATTTCTGTTAAGAACTTTGATCACATAATTTACAGATAAATCAACTATCTACCTTTTGTGCGATCCTTGAATTTTCATAAAACTTGTTATCTTGTATCTAACTGCTCACCAGTGGAGTAAAATGGACTAATATATCGTCATTTTCGGATATCTTTATTGACCGTATAGATTTGGCCAAAAACTATCCAGGCATCGTTCATTCATACCCTTCATATGGGTTTCTATTTTCTTCAGTACGACTTGGTTACTGAGATTTTGATTAATATCAGATGGGTTTTTGTGGAGATTGTAGTAATTTCAATGGTTAAGATCATGAGTCAGTTGAAGCTAGACCACCATGGAAGTTAGACATTAACACCGTTGGATGCCGGCTCAGTGGTCTTGTGGTTAAGTGTTCGGGCGCGAAACCAGTAGGTCCTGGGTTCAAATATCGCAGGGGGCGAGGTCGTGGATGCGCACTGCTGAGGAGTCCCACAATAGGACGAAACGGCAGTCCAGTGCTTCCAGGTTTTCCATGGTGGTCTAGCTTCAACTGACTCATGATCTTAACCATTGAAATTACTGAGATTTTATTTTTTCATTATTTGGCTCAGTAGGTGTGGATCTATCAAATCTATTTCTATAAGAAAGATCAATACGGAGTTCTGGTAGTTATGGACGTTACAAATCATCAAAGCTTTCGAGCCGCATTCGTTTTAGTTTATAATTATTGAAGTACTTAGAATATTTTATTTCAAACTTTTTCTTTACGTTTCTTGAATTAAGATTATTGGTAGTCTTGCTTAGTGTCATAAAGTCACTGTGTGGTGATAGAAGAAACCTTGTCGTTTTTTATCAAAACGTATTGAAGGAGCCCAATAGCCTATCATTGCACTTATCACTGAAATTCAGAAACTAACATTTTCAGGATTGTTTAAAAATGTTACATTTACTTCCTTCACTCCTATTTTAATTTAGCTGTTCATAGTGAACCTTTGAAAATAAACTCTTTGATATGGTGTGTTTGACGTATTTTGAAATGACTGCGACGAGAGCCTGGGACAGATAGAGAATTTCACTAAGGCAATCAGATCAAAGCGGGTACTGGGCATTAAGAAATGCACACAAGGTTAATGATCGAAAAGGCAGCTAGTTTATCCCAATAAACAAGTTTGAAAACTTGTACACAAACCTACGAAGTCTTCATGGAGTACACGGATAGGAAAAGGAGCGGTCACAGAACTTTTCAGCGAAATCATTACCTACTACATCGACCTTACTGAAGATATGGCAAGACGTGTTTAGTATTACCAGTTACAAGGGACAAGCAGCAAGGCGTACACATACATGTTGAGTATGCCTGACCGAGCGCCTTCAACTGAGTGTGTCCAGTAAAATTAATGACGTCAGAATCAATGTCGAAGATTTGCGGAGCTATTTATTTTGTGGATTCATTCACCTCCAAAGTGCTTTTCTGACCAGCGCGGAACTGTGGCGCAGGAAGATGAGACGTGGTGTTTATGGTTTAGCCTACCAAGTGAACTGCTAAAGTACCATTCAGGCAATATTACTTTGCTTGAATAGTTTTTTGAAGACCGGATAAAGTCAAAGGCTGAACCATGAATAGAAAAATACCTTTTAATCACTCATCCTGGTATCCCATTTTGTCTCTAAAAGATTCATGCTTTCAACAAAATTAAATCTCACTAACAAGTGACGCTAGTGTCTAGCTATTCAGTAGCAACAAACCTGGACTTACAATTCTTAAGATAATAGGGATACAATGGATGCAGATGAAATGGAAGTGTTCAGGTTTTATGAACACAACCTGAACGTTCGACCCCCATATTCCGTCCGTCTTTTCGTAACATGTGGTCATTTCGAAGCAAATTCAGGCTATTCTTACGTCTAATTGATCTTACTTCCAAATGACGGATTCTGAGACAGCACACAAACCATCCTGGTTCTCACTGAGTGTTAAGAAACAATAATTTTTAAGGGCTGCTAAGTTTTTCATCACTACCATGGGACAAATGACGTATTCAGGATGATTGTATTGGATAGGCTAAAAACTGCCGACATTCAAATCTTAAGAGACGGTTTTCATTGTTATTATTCTCCCGCTTATCCTAAAGTAACGAAATCTACATGACGTAGTTTGTTGCGATCCCAAGTCGAAAGCATTCACACTTAAACTGTATCAACAGTACATTAGCTCTAGATCTGTTACACTGTTAACTACAAGGACAAAAATACTGTTAACCTGCCAGCTGTTTTTTTTTCACTAAATGGCACGATCCTTGAAACTGTAGAAAAAAAATTAGCTAAGCCCAGTAATATCTATAAAAAGCTTAAATTTACTATTCTAACTTATAATTCTCAGCAAGAGCATGAGTTACATCGTTTACGGGGAACCAAAAATAAAGTGCTAATTCAATAACATTTATGATAGATATTCGTGTTGTTCTAAGAAGAAGCTAATTTTCACTGAAATCAAAACACCGTGCAGACCTGCATTTTAAGTAACCCTCTCCGGTTGTATGTTCACTTTAGTATCATTCATTGATAACTATTAACACTACAGCTCCGCACTAAATGTGTTCAAAGTCAAGTGAAACTACTAGAATATTTGCATCAAGTAGTCGCTTTGAATGCAAGATGTTCAGTTTTCGAAAGCGAACTGACTAGCACTCAGAAGCGTACGGATAGTGCGAAGTAGATTTGACTTGGCGCTCAGGAGAGCTTGAAAACAAGCCATTAGTAATAACCTGGAATTCTGATAACCAGTCAGCTCACTCCATTCAAGTGTACTGTTGATCGTCATTTTATTAGTCAGTGGAAAACCAATGTGATTCATGTTCAACAGTGTTAGCAAGCAAGACTCACCATTTATTCTCCGTATTATCGGGCTGTATGTTGCGGTTGACTTGGATAATCAGACTATAGCCATAGTCATTATTTATTGCGCAGCATCGTCTAAGGTCTATGTGACAGGTTTCATGATTAACAGTTTCCTATACGCCACCACTCGTTGAATACTGGGTAGTCATTCTCATGTTATGAGACGGATCTATATTTGATCAAAATACAAAATGGAAGTCAAATTTTCAGGTCTAACCTCTCCAGGCATTTAAGCATTCATACCGTCCACATATAGCCTAGTAAATTTTATTTTACGTCTAATATCAGACAACAAAGGACATGCCTCGTAAGCGTCCTGTTTGACAATAAATGAAATTTATTCCAATTGGATCGAGATATTTTCAGAGAACCTATATACTGCTTATGTTCAGCTGCTGCTTTATGAATGGAAGTTCAACTTATTGCTGACTCATAATTATAAAATAAAACAAACTGAAAATTTTCCCTAAGAAACTGCATTGACAACATATCAGAACTGTAAAAGCACATATAACTAAGATATAATTTTTCGAGGCGTAACTTCTGAAAGATAGTAATCACAGTTAACCAGATATTATCAGTGGCTCTTACAATCTGCTCCAGCTTACATCTGTGACAGCACTTCAGTATACAAAAAATTTTGATTTTACTATCTTTACAAAGCAAATCTGCTTAATTGAATCATTACTTATTAACTGCAAGCGCAGTGTTTTTGAGGATATGTCCCTAGGAAAAATTGATATTCAAATAATCATCTAAAAGCTAATAAGAGTTAAAATGTGATTGCTTGAATTCTTGCTATGCGGCTGCTTAATTATTTCACTTTCATACGAAAGAAAACACTGATACAATCATATTCAGTAGATTCCCTATTCAATAGCATGATTTATGTTTCACATCAGATAAAAAACAACCATCTTATCTGTCTTACCCGGGATTCTTCTTATGAAGTGTGCTGTGATTGATAACACGCAGTGCCACACGGTATCTCCATCTCTTTCAGTGTGACCTGAAACAAAAGACCAGAGATGAATGCAAAAGCATTGTCAGTTCATGTGTGTATTGTAAAGACAAAGGTATACAGACCTATATTTTGATTGAGAGATGTCTTCATCTATTTATATTGCATTATTATTGTATTACTACAACAATGTTTTAACTTTATTCATTTTGCTTATATTATTCATTAATACGTAGAAACGTATGAAATATGGATGACACTTTCAAAAGACAGCTGAATAACAATATGTAAGATAAATGACGCTGAAATGTTCGTTAATACAGTTTGTGTTTAACTGCATCTATTTCATCAACCGCCTTATAACCCTAATTTTAAAAGGCTTCACAGCAGGTATGTTTTGCTGTTCTGTTTTTTTGTTACATTTACTTGTTGATTCAAGTAAACCCTCGAAGTGCAAGCCCTATCGCAACTCTCAGTAATGATCTTAATATCTCAGTATCTTTTATATAAAATATACTGGTTATTACAAAACTTAAATAGATCAATATAAATTGATCAGAATATGCTGCCATATAGATACATATGAGATGTATAACTATAATGAACCTAAGCATTTCACTATAGTTAACCATTTTTCGTGGCAAACGTGAGTAGACCCTTACGGTGTGTCTTTGAAACTTGTTTGTCAAGACGACGTGACTGTATACTGTAAAAAAACCAAGCTCATATGCTTGCATTCGAAGAACAAATATGATTCACGTTAATATTTTTCTGGTCCAGTTGCAAGAGTGAGTAAAGATTTGAGAGTTATGTATACCTTACACTTTGTGTTCATCATATTAATGAGCTTATGTAATCTCGATTTCTTTCTCGAACGGAAAATGATTTATCGTTCGGTTCTTCTCTATCAAAATCTACTCAACATTTCTCGATCACCTTGAAGTTATTTCAGTGTGCAGATGCTTGATTAAAGTGCTAAAACCTCCACTTGTTGAATGTACATTGACTTTCACTAATTTCTTTATTCAGTCAATACTATCTGCCCTGAGTTTCCTTGATGTAATAAATTTGATTTTTCAGCCGTTACCGGTAGATTCAACTGTTATTTACTAAGAACTTGGTTTCTCAGTAGCTATTATAGAATATATATTCTAATTTTTGAAATTTCTGCTTAGTATAGTTGTTGATGTATGTTGTCAACATATAACTGATGAGGCTGGTACAATCACCGAATCTGCTTTTTATGGCTAGTGGAAAGCATTTATAAGCCGTCCTAAACTACGCTGTAGAAGATACAGATAAGAAAACTGCGTTTTTTGCGGGGTAACTTTCTTTGATTGAAACCTAGAACTTAGATCTTAGCATGAAAGTTTAATCTTTGAATTTGGTTTTAAATATAAAAAACAGATAAAAGTAGTTGCGACTAAGGCCCATGGCAACACTAAAGTTTGTTGTCAGCTTTCACAGTCATGTGACCTCAAGCTTTGTGTGTCATATAAGAAACAAAATATGGTGTGGATATTTTGATTATTTCAAGATATAACTTTAAAGGTGCGTACATTGAACTAATCCGTTAAAATGCAGTAGTTGTTGATTGCAAGACGTCATTTGTAAATGTATTGCTTATAAAGAAAACTTCAAGCCCAGTAAATACAAAGGTTTCTTCCTACTTAAGTTACTGATCGAGCCAGTGATTATGGCAAACTGTCATCAGAATTTATAACTTCAAGTTGTGTTCGCCAGTGTTGTCTGCTTTCCTCACTTTTGTTTAGTTTCATCATAGACATGCTTTTAGAGATAAAACTTTCGTGGTTTTACTTTTCAGGGGTTGATGCCCTTATTTGTTGACTTAGTATACACAGATGATATAGTTCTTTTTAATGAAACGCTGACAAAATGCAATCTTCTGACCAACTTAAGCAATGATGCAGGCGCGTTTGGGATTCCATTTTCTCTCTCTGAATGTAAAGTGTTGCTTCAGGATTGTCTTGCGTCATCGCCTGGATTTACGATAGGGAATAAAGTAGTTGAGCTTGTTGATCGCTTCACTTCTCTTAAGGTTCTCATCGGCATTGACAGATTGTTGTCTCAAGAAAGCTCGATTAGTATTTCCCAACTTGCATCACTTTTGGTGTAGGCGAGATATTCATCTACCAACCAAATGAAGAGTTTACTGTTCATCAGTTTACTATGTTCTGCTTTGTGGCCGTAAAATATAGCCATAAAGAACAAACAACATTCGTTGGTTACTAGTATTCGACCATAGGTGTCTTAGAAGCATCCTCGTGTATTTTAGAACCACTGGGTAAGCAATAGCTGAGTTAGAAATAGGGCACTTTGTAAGGATGGTAAATTGATTAATAAGGCAATAAATGTTTATCAACTAAAGTAGTTGGGACATTTATTAGATATCCTCAACCATCGCCTACCTCGATAGGCTATGTTGTCTCGTGTAGGAGTAGGCTGAAAAAACGTTAAGGGCTGCCAAACCAAAACATAGCATCAGTTCATGAAGTTATTGATAATTGAACTGAGCCATGTAAACTGGTGTAAAGTACCTGGTTGGAGTCCGTTTGACTATCGTAACCAATGTTTAAAGACTATAAATGAAATGGCTCAAAATCGTTTGCAATGGCACAGGTACATTCGTTCTTCCTGCAAATTCTAGACCTCTGAAGTCCTCATAATTTTTCTTCATTTCACTAATTTATATTTCTTGAACCAAGTCATCGATGCCTAATCTTTTCGATTACCACTGATACTAATAATACCATTGTTACTCTGGGACTTGGACTAACAATTTTATTTTTAGCGGTTACGTCTTCTGTTTTCATGTGTTTAGTGAACACTTGATCATTACCAATTGCTAAGTCATTTTACTTATCGGTATTTTCACTCGAAGAGTCATATCTGATAAGCATGTTTGTAGCCCAACATTTTTAGAACTTGAGTATTTGATCCTGCATAATATATATTCTTCTTTACAACTCGTGAAACCCTGATACATTGGGACACCAAATGTAGTGCACAAACATTCTAAATAAATCAAATTGAAATTTCATAAGTTTGAACGCATGATAGTTGAGTAAAAATAATTTATGAAGGTCCCTTTTTTTAAATATACATCTTTGTCCAGGAGTAATATAGTGTGTACAACAGTGTTATTGTTGCTCGTAATTCTGAAGTGCATTTGATAACGATTTTATCCAATAAGTTAGATTGCCTCTCGCATTTCATATCGGAAGTCACAGTCTACGATTATATGCCAACCCAACACAATTATCCTTCAATTTACTATTTCTAGCCATCAGCTATTAATCTCAGTCACCAAATAAATTTTGAACACCAACGCTAGACCTTTCTACTATTTTTAGTGAATAATCACCGAAATTTAGTGACAAGGTGGACTTTTTCTATAGAGTTATTAAACTCCAACAGTTACGATGGAAGGATCCGATGCAGACGAGGATTGGCAAGGCAAGGGCCACATTCCTACAGTTGAAGATTATATGGGACTCAAAACAACTGTCAACTGGTATGAAGGTCAGAATCTTCCATACAAACGTCAAGAAAATTCTACCGTACGGAGCGTAAACTTGGAGAACCACTACAGCCATCACCAAAAAGTATGAGTATGTATAAACAATCGTCTACGCAAGATTCTCAATGTTGCAACAGCCTACTGTGAGAGAACAAAACAACTTCCAGCTGAAGAGGAAATTAAGAAAAGATGCTAGAAATGGATAGGACACACATTGAGGAAATCATCAAACTGCATCACGACTCAAGCAATAACTTGAGATCCTGAAGGGAAGTGGAAAACAGGAAGACCAAAGAATACACTGTGCCAGGAATCGGAAGCAGATGTGAAGAGGGTGAATAGTAACTATAAAGGGCTGACCAGGACATAGTTGGATAGAGAATGCTAGTGGGTGGCCTATGCTCCTCCACGAATGGTGACAGGCGTAAGTAAATAATAGTTCCGATTACATTCCATTCTCATGCACACTTGCATACTTAGGCTTTCGCCATCAAATATTGTCTTATGGATACATAATAAATGTGACCAGAATCATAGGAGGATAAATATTTTGTTAAAGACACTGTACGTTTAATAAAATGTATATAAATGATGAGTTACAAACTTAAACATTGTATTAGACGACCACTAAACTTTCCAATTCATACAAATGCTTTGAATCGAAGAAGCTATCTACGCAAGATTGATAACATGTTAATGAATCGTCGTTTAGATTTAAAAAGTAATAAGCTCTATAACGACCCTTCTTCAATCGTAATATTTTTGATGCTACTCTCTTTTTAGTTAATTCTTACAATACACAATGACGACAGAAGATCCAAAAGTACTATACCCTCTGCATTACCATGTTTGGAATAATGATTATATGGCTTTGGATGAGCTACTTCACCAGAAAAAGGTACAGATATGCATAATTTGACGAAACGCATTTTCACTAGCATGATATAGAAAAACTGGACCCTCATGGGAGAACCCCATTAATGTTATGCATTGTACTTGATCATTTGGAGTCTGCACGAGTTTTACTCCGCCATGGTGCAAACGCTTGCGTTTCTACTAGTAAATTCTGGACAGGTATTTGTTTCGAAGTTTGATTTTATCGATAAAAATTTAGCTGCACAGGAGGCCATTGCAACAGGAGACCCTGAACTTGTTAAACTAATCTTGGTTCATAGAGATGCTCAGATTGTCCGTCATCAGGCTGCTATAGTTGCAGATTTACTACAGAAGCTCAGAGAAACCCCCGATTTTTATATTGAAATGAAATGGGAGTTCACTAGTTGGCGTAAGTTATTATACTCTCATCACATTATAAATTTTGGTGAAACCGTTGAGGTACTTTGTATTGTATACATATGTATCGGCTAATCAATAACGTTTCAGTAGCTAACCTTTTTAAGCTTGATGAATTTATAATACTTCTAAGGTAACTATTTGTTGTAAAATGTAACTTAGTAAATGTAGTTGCACATGTTAATAATAGGTATTTGTAATATTGAGATTAATTTGTTAACAGAATTTTTTCTGCTTCAGTGCATGTGCTCTTGCAAGTAACCTATTGAAAATTATGACCGAATAATCAAATTTAAATACAAATATCTTAATGTTAGATTATTTCTAATCTTGAATATTAGCTCTATTGATCCACCAAATAACAGTCAAAATCAGCACTAGTTTCACTTATTTTGGGATATTAGTATTTTATTATGAAAATAAACCTTGTATTCGAATCTGCTTTAGTTAGCGATTTTTACACTAGAGATTTAACTGAAGGTCTTTTATAGAGAATTGTTTTTTATTGTTCGGTTTTTTATTCGCAATGAATAGAGTTGTTACTTGTTGACTTCCGAACTTATCGTCATGTGACTTAGTGATTAACACACTACTTTCGACCATTAGGTCACAGTTTCAAGCCAACCAGTATCTCTGGCTCGCTCACAAAATGTGTATTTCAAAACCTAGCTCATGAAGTTGCGCTTGGCAAGATGAGTTACATTAGAAATCAAGTTTATTTCCAGCTTAGTCATAATCAACTCGGTAAACGTTTGCATGATGCTTACTTTATTAGAGAGATTTTTAAAAGACTAAACGGGTTCATTTTTTTTCGAAATATGTGAATTATATCTAACCAAACGTACATTTTTCTGAAGTCGTTTTTCTTCAAACTCCACTTAAAGTCGCAAATTTATTTATTTATAAAGCGTCTTGTCGATGTGCTTCCTAAATTCGTTTTAGTACCACTTGTATCGCGTATGTGCCCAAGTGATGTTTGTCGGGTATGGAAATGTGGATCAAATGTTAGAATTGATACGAATCTACTGGGATTTAATGGCTCAGCATCATGGGTTCGTGGTCATCTGAGCTATATGTTTAGAGCCGGAGGTATGATATCAATTATTTTCATATGTTACTTATTGGTTCCAGTAAGGTTTATAAATTGATGTCTATCATTCTATGCTGAATATTCAATTTCGAGGTCAAATAGATCTCTCTTTATTTGGATATAGAGCAATTCTATGTTTTATATTTGTGAGCAATTATCAAAAGAGTGTATGTTAAATGTGTTTAAAACATGTAAACGATGTTACCAATTACCTATTTCGACTTTCTCATTACTAACTTCACTGTGAACAAATTAGTAGTATTATGTTGTGAAAAGAAACTATTAAACAATTGATTAAGTTAATATAGAGTCACAGATTGTTTGTCAGTGTAATAATGACCGAAATGTAGGCAGATATTAAAAGCACAACAATATTCACTCTACATACAATTTTTTTGGTGGAATTATCGCCACGTTTACTCCTGAAAAGAATATGTTGATCCACTGAGAAATCAAGACGTTTCATGCAAATACGTTTTGTATTTAGGAAGATATATGTTTTTGAATGCTAAAAAACATTTAACCTTGTATTTTATGGTCACGGCTGAGTTTAAATAGTGTAGTGAGTTATGTAAGCTTTTCACTTGTATTGTTTAAGGTCTTGTAAAATAGAAATTAGTGTACACATCCAAGAAGATATGTTATCATGTTACTTTTTCCTGCTTATCTAGAATCTGGAGCATATATGGATGAAGTAAACCACACTGATAGAACTATTTATCGGCATAACGTAAATTTACTTAGTCGGTCCGATGGAATGGATAGCACACCAGGTGCCGGAAGTGGTGCCGGTGCTGCAGCTACTGCTGCTGCCCAACTCTTTGTACGTGAACCTTCGGAAAGTACTATTGCAAACAAATTAACTCAACCTATTTTCGTTACATATTTGGATACAGATAAAATAGAGTTTGAGAAGTGAGTTCTCTTGGTCATATAATAGGTACTTTTATATATTAGCCGAAAATACTTTCTTTTCCTTTGGCAATAGAATCGTCGACTGACTAACAGCTTCTCTTATGATTGATTACTTCTTCAAGATATCCTTATTTTAATTATGTGTGTGTCCATATGGATGTTCTATACGCAGTCAGTGTGACGTCACAGCCAAAATCTTTAACAGAAAGTATTCACAAATCCAGTAAAATATTTAGTTAAAAATATATGGTTTCTATTAGTTTGGGATAAATATAAAATTCATTATGGTACTATTAGTTGTTATAATTTGATTTCGAACATCCTATTTTTTAAAGTCTCATTCAAAGTCAACTTCATAATAACTTGTTACTTATCGATTTTATTACAAACTTTCAAACTCTAAAGTGTTAAAAGTAGTAACAGTATTAGTAAAAAGAAAAGAGATTCGAGAAAATATGGGTTCGTGAAATAAAAAATAATAAGATAGTTTAGAAACTTAAGATTTGAGGAAGACAAAGAGTGAATGCACCTACTCCATTTCAAATGATTCTAAGCCATGTTATCTAAAATTTCGAACCACTGCTTACAAAAATCCAAAATAAAATCAATTTGTATGGGTGTATATATATAAACATCTTACTCAAGTAGTGTTTTAGTGTTGGTTATATGCTTTGCTGTAAATAAAGCATAGAATCTAAACTTTTTCATTTTTATTGGTCAGTAAGGTGTATCGTCAAACTCGAGAAATCTTTAGAGCTGTATCATTTAGACCGATCGATTTATACAATGACTGGGTTACCAATCGATTTCTTTTAAAATGAAAAATGTTCGGAAACTTCAGATATTTATAACATTTTACGAATTTTTTATAAGTGATCAGTCAGTCAGATGCTATGTGAGACCCGACTATAGCTGTTAGCTTGAAGTGGTAGTTCAACCGGCCCATCGTAATGACCTGATCAAGTTATATTGGGTGGAACAGTATTTCCTTTAAGCCCTGTAATGTTAGTCAGGTTAGTTGGAGGACGGTAAAACTAGGGTGAGGTCTTACTTCTGCCTGTACTGAGGAGTGGTGGTCGTAAGTTGTTTCCCTTAGGCAACTAGCATTTGCAGCAATATTGCTTTCTCACAACAAAAGAAAGAAGTTAGAAAGGTTCAGCTTTAAAAATTTCACACGCCACCAATACACGGATTTCCGTCCTTGTTAGTAAGAGTTTTGAAGCGTAGAGCTAGCATATCACAAAATTCTCACAGAAAGGCCACATGTGATCGATTTCAAGCAGTTTCTTTCACAACGTAGTCACGCCACCACGTCGGTACGACCAGAACTAATCCAGTTTTTCTTCAGGTCCATCAAGAAATATCGTTTCACTGTTTACGCGATCGGGAAGTGAAAACCGACCTCATACCTCTAACAGCACTAGACGTCCTGTTGTTCATAATTGGATTACCTCATCACTTCCTAATGTTCTTTCTATTCCCATAAGTGACCGGATATGTGATGTACACTATGCGGTTCCAGAATTTGTTTTCTTCTCATAATATTTGGCTCATAAACAAAGTAAATTCCCAGCGGATTTCATCTCAAATCAAGAGCTAAAATAAAGTGTTCAGTTATCTGAAAATTGCATCTGAATACGAAATCTTCCATAAAATATGCTTATAGATAAAAAAATTGATGTTTAATTTGTAGTGATCTTTGTATTCGACAATTCACTTTATACGCATCTCAAATTAACATGTCCGACACATTCCCATATTAATGAATAAGCAAACATTTTATTGTAAAGGGAAATGAAGATATTTATAAAAAAAGTATCTGACGAAAAGTTTTTTGTTCAATATTAAATCCCTGTAAGAGATGTAAATACAGCGAATTATTTAAGTAAATCTTCAAAATTTATTTAGTTAGATATTACTTTTAAATATTTTCGTAGCACAAATTCACAGACCATCTTCTAGTAGGTCAATAAACTTAGAGTCGTATAATAGCTTGACTTTTAACCAGTAGATCAGCGGTTTGAATCTCACTTAATTTCGGTTTGGACAATCGGATAATATTACTAGCCGTCACAAAAGTGTAGTTGAAGTCTGAATTTATTATCCCGTATTTGGATAATGAACTACACCAAGGATTTGAAAATATATATCATACAATGTTTTTTTAATTTATCTGCGTAGTTTGATGTAGAATACAGTTCATTTAATCTTAAATAGTATGGATTGATGAATGGAAATAGTTCAGTATGTGTAAAATCATTGTTCAGACAAGTACATTAAATATATTTACTGTAAATTTTCTTAATTATCTACTATGATTTATGTGGCTAAATAAACAAACCGTGTATTCTTGTTGAATGAATCCATATTAGTTTCTGTAGTGATTACTAGCTAAAAAATAATAAGACGCAAGCATATAATTATGCAACCTTATAAGGACTTGTACTTCATTGATTTGAAAGTTTGTATTTAAAATGATGAATTATCAAAAAATTTGTATACTATTTTATTTAGATCGTTCAATGTAGATACGAGCAACATTTTTAACCGTTACAAAACAAGCTTTACTGAGTTTGTATATGAAATGATAGTTACCTGTTTGATAAATTAAATAATCGAATTATTTATATACTTATTTAGTATTTCCCAATATAATGCTTGTAGTGATTTCCATATTGCTATATTTCACTTATAATCTAATAAATAACGATTATTTGAGTGCAATAAGTTTTAGTTGACCACATTTTGACTACCATTCGTTGCTTGTTCTTGATAGAGTTTCTCCATTTAAATATTTCTTTTAATCAATGGTTGTCTCTTTTTCTGTCTACTTAGTTCATATTTTACTATTTTGTTTCATAAATTTCCCCAGTTAAAACATTTTTTTATTGGTTATAAATACATGTATACTTATTGGTATGTTTGTCTGTATTATACATATAGAAGTAAATCGGGAATTTTAGGTTGGCGATCTGATCGTAAAGAAACTATTAACAATCATCCTTGTCAAGTAGGTTAAATTAAAAGCAATTGATAATCAATTCTGTTTTATTCATTTGCTTATTAATTCAATATATTTTATATAAATAACTGATAAATGTTTCTTCGAACTAATAAGTATTTCTAATGCATTTCAAATAACAATCCAAATTTAACACTGTTTTATGTAGTTTGTGCATAATTGAATTACTAAAACGAAGTCGATTAAAGAAATTGTGAATTAAGCAACCGATTGATTTTAGTAGAACAAATAAAAAATTATCGAGCTTAATTATCTACATATTAAAAATTAATTATAAAACAAATATTCAGCATTTGTAGAGTTTGGAGCTTAGGAGTATTTTGAACTATTAAGAAAATTTTATTTTATTTTATTTTAACACATAGATATTGGTACAAGAAGGCACCAAATACATATGCGCCACACAAATCTTATTCGATATGTGCGAGGGCTGTGATACTGCCCGGGTGCCCAAACCGAAGCAGGTGGTTTTCTTAGGGGGCCACTCCCCGAGCCTTTGACCTAGAGGTCTTACCCACAAGGCAGTGGAGCATCGTAAGGAGATGCAGTCCCATGGTAGCTGGTGACCAACGATTGGTTCATACGCCATTTGTTCCCGCAGGATACTGGAGCCCATGTGCACCATCAGTTTGGGATCCGGTTAAAGCGCCGGACATTCGCTTTTCGTCCTCTCATTTTTGTAAATAACACCCCCGCCACGAGAAGGCAGTGAGTAGGACTTCTCTGGCAGAGGCTATATACGCGTGGCCATGTGAGAGCATTTCGAGAGGGAGAGCGGACTTTCCCCACTCTCGGCCGTACCAGGGCATTTGGGGGACGTTTTGTTTGATATCTAAATTGAATCCCATACACTATTCATGAAATATACAGAAAAAAAGTCAGTTTCATAAAACTCTGGTAAGATACTACTCTATCTGGAACATTGAGAGAATTATCAGAATGAGCAAGAATGGGTTTTATTAAGATTTTAGTGACAAAGGTGTTAGGCCGTTGCTAATTTTCATAGAACATTACAATAATAGTTATGTAAGAATCACGAGACGAATGTTGAGAATAAGTAAAATACAAACAGTGAAAGAAATATGAAAATATTTTATCAAAATTCCACTCCAAACTCCCCTATACCGATGGCCAAAATAACGAAAGTAGTTGTACAAACTTTTTTTAAATGAAAAAGTTTGGTTTGTGAACATGGATACCAATGGTTTCAGCAATGTACAAAAAATGAACTCGTAAATCATGTAGCAAATTTGATAGAATTTGGTGGATCACCTTTAAAGCTCGATTCATTTATTCTTCATTTACCAAATATAAAAAAATGGAAATTTTCACTACATTACAATAAACTCAACTTATTAGTTTGACATTAACACCAGCGTATTTTTGTTTGACTTTTTATTTATAAATATTATCATATATCAATCGATTTTATAACTGAAGTAAATAAACGTAAAAAAACAACAACATAATAAGATTGTATTGTTAATTTATTATTCTATTATGTGATTGTTTTCAAGTGTTAGTAGTATTATTTAAAAATAAGTTACCTTATACCCATCCGTGTGATTTTCTGTTACAAAAAAAATAATTAAAAAAAAGGAAGAAAGAAAAACACTAAGGTTATATGTACAAAATGATGTAGATGAAGTAATAATTATGTCTAAATTCCATTAATTTCATCATTGTATCGTGATGAAATGCAGACATTTATATAGAACATACATTTACATGATTAGTTGTTATAAAAGTTTTCTATTGAGAAAGTTCAGTCTTTCAATGTATATCAAATCTCTACTATATAATGTGTTATTATTGTAAATATTTATGAATGAATTTGATATTACTTTGTTTTAAAAAAAAAATATATTCTTATAAATTGTATTAATTTTTCTGTAAAATGAATATATATGTAACTCATGATCATGTTATAGTAGTGACATTTTTTCATTGATTCTTGAAGTTGTTTAATCCACAGAATGATAAGAAACATTTACGAATGGAACAAAAATCGGTCCTTCTATCTTGCATAAGGTAGAGTTGATATCTCTGACATGTTAATTGATTAACTTTGAGTATTAATCTCTTAGTAAAGATAGTGTACTTCCTACAATATTTGTTTCTTTCTGTAATTAAATTCATATGATTAATGGTGAGTTGTAAGGACTTGTATCATGTTAAAACAGAGATTATCCTTATAGTAAATTCAATCATTTTTGTAATGTTCATATCGATAGTCTAGATAATAGCCCTTATTTATAAAACTCAAATTTAATTTGTCAATCTAATAACGGTAAAACAAATCGTGATAACAATCATAAGTAGTCTATAACATACCATAGAATGAAAAATACTCTTACTTTGTGAGTATATTTTACTGCATTATAAACCGCCTAGTTAGAAAGAAATGAGAATTGAATAGTTAAAGCCACTTTTTCTTCTAAATATGAATATCAATCTGTTGTTTTTTTTTCTAAGGTATACTGTGCATCGAATGTACAAATCATCACATTACGTCGTACAGAACATTTAACTGAAGAAAATCTACGTGATCTTAATCAACAGCATAATTCTAATGATAATGAACATGGTGGTGTTTGTGGTGTCAGTGGTGATGACATAGTATTTCCAGGTGGTCGAGGCAATTTACTAACAAATCTACTACAAACAGCCGCATCTGAAACTAAGACCAAAACTGATTTAGCTGTTACGCATGTAAATTAAATGAAACACCTATTTTTTTTATTAGTACTAATTATGCGAATAATTAATGTAAAATAATGTATTGTAGGTTTGTTTTTTCATCATACTTTCAATACTAGGATGATGACCTAATTTAAATTTAACAGACTGTGACATCATTTAGTATAACTAGCAAAATTTGAGGTTACTGAAATTTTTTGTTACTACACTGGGTTTTTTTCATTATGAGTTGTTACTATGATTACTGATATTGATACAATGGATAGACTGGTTACTGAGTAATATAAAATTGAACTATGCATAATGATTAGTAATGTCAGTTTAACTGATTAACTTATTTTTAGATGAATATATTGTCTACACTAACTAAAATCAGACCTGGTATTTTCATATTTGTGGTTTAGTGTGTAGTTGTACTATGTTAGCCCTTTTCTTGATACTTTATATGGACACTGTAACGATAGTCTAGCATAGGAACTTATACTTGGTCACTGAGTCGCTTGTTTCATTTCACTAAAATTCTAAAACTATTTGTATTGCCTACTAATTTTAAAAAATGCTAGGGATCAGATTCATTTTGGTACTAAAAGTATTCGATATTTAAGAAAAGTCAACTAGCCATAATCTACATAGAGCCTAACATTGGTGTGACTTAGCTCAGATTGTCATTTCAGGGCAACGAAATGAAACTAACAAGATGAATACCAAGAGAGTTAAAATAGTCTTGGGAACAGTGTTAGTAAAAAAATACTGTATTGAGAATATAATCCATAAAGACAAAATGAAAAGGCATACACGAAGGAATAGTGAGACTTAAGATCTTCAGGAATAGGAACAACGAATGCGTCTTTACCATCATAACCGATCTGAAGCATTTCATTAAACATTTCCAACTATTAATCGTGGTTATATCAAGGACTCCAACCAGGTGGTCTACACTTACCAACACAGACCACACCAACAGTCAGTGAATTCAGATACGCCTTGCTTTGGCCATCGACAGATCTCTTCCAATCTGTTCCTACTCCAACCAGCAGTGTCGGGGTAAACGGTGACTGGACCTACGTGACACGTTTCCCAGTCACCTAAGTCGTTAAAGGTTCACAGTTTTACCAACTTATTTATCGTCTTTACCTAGTACTCTATGTTTAATCTCATCATAGCCTAAGTGATTGCTCCGTGGTACATGAGCAACATTTCTAAGACACCTATGATCAAAATTCTGCAGACTTTAAATCTCTTTTACTTTCCTAGGAAAATGTGAACATTCACTTAGCCAAGTCCAATTTTCTGCTGCGCTAAACAGATATGACTGTATAAATATCCCATGGTTTCCTCAACTTAATTGACAAACATTCCGTTTATGTCTTTAGACTGTGTCGTCAAAGTAAACTATTTTTCGATTCATGATTAAATTTCCATCAATAGGGCTTATTGTTTATTGATTTGTCAGTTAACGTCATTACCGTTAGAATACTCCGTACTTATAGTAAATTATCTACCACTTCATCAAACAACAACCTACTTTCGTACTTTATAGATAACTGTCATGTAACAAGTTAGGGACTAGTTGATGGGTCACTGAAAGCACATATTTAACAGTCCTATGAAATATGTTCAGTACATAATTCCATCGCTCCATAAGTGAATAAACGTTACCATTGGATTTCAGTATCATACTTTTCACATTGTTTTTGGTAAAAGAACCACATCATTAATGACTTAAACTTATATATTCGAGTTTCTTGCCAGTAAACATTGTTTGTATGAAAATATTATTGATTTAATCACTTGTTATTGTCCGTATTAGAGATGTGCTATAGGGGTGTGCATCACATTCATGACTGAAGATATTAAAAACTCACGTTTGTTTTTATCTATCCACATTATGAATGCTTTTAATGTATTTTCTCACTTTCGTAATCCCTCTCAATATTTTGGGATCACATCTAAAGTTCATTGTTAGTTTTTTTAGTATTTACTGTGGTTCTTCGTTGCTCTCTCTCTCTCTCTTCAGTAACATACAAACCACTAAATGTAGTTATTTTGAAATACTAACATATTTGTAAATTAAGTAACGAATTGTTCATCAGAAAATTGAGTTGTTTGAAAGACAAATTTGTAATGAATTTGAAACTAAGATTGTTAATAAGTTATATATCAACGAATGGAATGATAGTCCTAGAATATTGGTGATAACTCAATTTCCCGATTTGACAAACATTTACAAAACATAGAATCTTAAGGGGACTGATGACATTGGTCACTAATCAGTTATTAAACAACTGTAAATACATCTCAGTCTTACAAGTGGTCGGTCGTGGCCTGGTTATCTCAGTGACATTCTCTATGACTTTGAAGCTAAGTCATCACCTTACATCTCAACATAGTGCACCCGATGTTGAGTTACTTAGATTAGTGACCATACTACAACTTGATCTATAGAATTCGGTTACCTTTGAGAATGACTTTACATAAATGACAGTGGTCACTGTTCAATGATAAAGTAATTATAGATTCCACATTGAATATTCGTTTTTTAAAAGTAAAAGTAAGCTGTTGGCGTGTTTGATATAGTTTGTAAAGTACCTTCGATGTGTATTTTACGTATTCTACGTTTTATACTTTATTTCACTCGTGCTAGACTGTTCCCCAACAAAATCCCACAACAAATCCAAAATACTCGATATTTATTTATTAACTAGTGTTATTTATAATGCAAAATGTTGCTTCGGGATTGGGTGGCATCGACACCCGAACTAATGATAGGCAGTGAAGTAGTTGAGCGTGTCTACCGCTTCACCTATCTTGAGAGTCTCATCAGCCCTTGTTGTCTGGTGTGTGACGAAATCTCAGCACAGATACAGAATGCTCGACTAGCTTTTGCCAACTTGCGTCATTTATGGCGTAGGCGAGATATCCGTCTACCAACCAAAGGACGAGTTTACTGTGCAGCAGTTCGTCCCGTCCTACTTTATAACAGTGAAACATGGCCGGTAAGAGTAGAGGATATTCGTAGGTTACTAGCATTCAATCAGAGGTGTCTTCGAAGCATTGCTCTTATGTCCTGGAACTACCCAGTAAGTAATGCAGTTGTTAGGAAACGAGTACTAGGTAAGGATGGCAAATCAATTGGTGAAGTAGTGAAACTTCATCAGTTAAGATGGCTGGGACACATGGGACACATACGTATGCCCAACCACCGACTCTCCGACGTGGGATGTTTTATGGTGTAGGAGTAGGTCGGAAGAAAGCTAGAGGCGGCCAGACCAAAACATGGCACAAATCCATAAAGTCACTAACAAGTGGACTAAGCCATGTTGGTAGGTGTAGACTACCTGGTTGAGATCCGCGAGATGATAGCAAACGATAGTTAGAGACGTTGAATGATATGGCTCAAAATCGTTTGTAATGGCTCAGGTGCATCCACTCTTTGTGTTCTCGAAAATTCTAATCTTCTGAATTCTTCATGTCCCGTTTTTTCCTCTTTCCAAAATTATTTCACTGGATTATACTCCTTGAGTAACATCTTCAAACCCTAATGTTTCCGATTACTGCTTATACTTTTAGTACCTCTACCACTACGGGATTTGAATCGACAACTGTATCTCTGTGCTAATGTTGTATGGCAACTCGAACTGATGTACTTAGGTGCGAAGTTCCATGTTGTTACTGACTGGCTGATTTATAATTACTAATAGGCGTCATCTTAAAAAAATAGTTGATAGTCTAATTGTTACAAAGATCTGTTTTCATCACAATATTCATATCTCGACTGATATTGTCAACACATACATTGTTAACCTTTCTCTTTTTCTAATTCAACGTAGTTCGTTCGAATATTTAAGTAAGCGTTCATACACAGCTATTTTTAAACCGCTTATATTTGATCAAATCAAACCAAACTACCTGAATATTTATGTGTTAATTACTGAAGTGACCGTTTACAAGACCATGACATAATAAATGAAGCCTTAACCTCTTCTGTAAATGACTTATATATTAACTAAGTAATAAGTGACCTTTGTTCCAATTCTCATATTACACGATATCTGAGCTATCTGAGCATTTTAAGATTAAAAGATTTATCCGATTGATTTTAGTGTTTTCTTTTCCACTGTCAAATATCATGTGACAAGATCGCCAACCAGAACACCGACTTATACGACCTACGCCCTGTGTCAAACCAATGATATGTTAACCAGCACGGACAGCCTCCAATCTACTCTGAATCCTTATTGATTCTCCTTGCCTATTCCTACCCATTGAGTTTAGAACACCATTTCAGCTTCCACTATATGAATAATAACAGTTATGCGAGATCTGAGCCATATTTATCTAGTTACTTAATAGTCATTCAATAAAAATATGTGTAACAATAGTCCATAAATAATACCTAGCAGATACCGTTCGTTTATTCTTCGCAGTAGAAGTAATTAAACTTTCTAGGGTTCCAGATTATCTCGTTTTAATTACATCACCTAAACTATTAGATTTTACTTATGATTGAATATTTTCTAATTAAAATTTCACTCCCACAATAACTGAACATCACAGTCAGTATTGTGTATGTGTATGTGTTGGTGATATTTAATTATTTGTCTGTTTTTACTCCACTTAATATATCTCTATCTTATTAAAAATCTATAAATTACGTGAAATGTAAAACAAAAATAAACAAAATATTTCTTCTAATTTAAGTGATTTCAATTAATCAATCATCAAGTTGGATAGAGATGGTAATGTTTCATAATCAAAAAAAAAATTATAAGTCTATTTAATAGATCAATCATTATTCTTATATGTTATATAAATAATAGGTACATGCATAAATAAACATTTTTCTAAAATGAATCATATTTATTTTGGTCTGTCCCTTTTCCAGTTTAATTAGTCAATCATCTTAACTAATGAAACCAATCACTTCCTTTCCCCTCTCAATATTTTCATCCTACTTTAATTTTTCTCCACATTTGTTTTTTTTCTTTTAGTTACACTCTTTTGCTATTCTTACTCCATATACCTGTTTGGTTATTATTTAAATTTTTTTTACGTTTACTTCTCTCTTTAGGAAGCAGCAAGCTACAATCCAAATCATATAACAGCACAACAATATTTTTCACCTAATATTGGTACACAAATTCATTTAGATGATATTGGTCGACCGAAAGCGATGATAACAAAAGTAAAGACATTTAAAGCACGTTTATGGATATGTCGTGATTATCCTTTATCATTGAAAGATCAAATTATACCGATTATTGATTTAATGTCTGAATATAATCCATACTTTCACAAATTGAAAGAATTTCTTACTAAACAATTGCCTAGTGGATTTCCACTGAAAGTTGGTAAGCTGTTTGAGATTTTGACTGAAAACGCTTATTATTGTTATTATTACTGTTTTATATCATTGCTTTTTTTAATGTTCACGATTATATAAATAATGATCGGACAGCGTGTGTGTGTGTATGTATGTATGTATGTATGTATATTCGTCTTTTTTATTTAGACAAATCATCATGTAGGTCGTCAAGAAAATGGATTGTCTGTAGGTAGGAGAGGGTAAATGAAAAAGAGATATCTTCACATACTAATGAAGTTTTTAGATCTTTTGCTCTCTCTCTCTCTCTCTCTCTCTCTCTCTCTATATATATATATATATATATATATATATATATATATATATATATATATATATATATATATATATAGTGAAATAATTCAATGAATAATTATGATCAATAATCTAAGTCATGGTCAGTCATCCTTATACAAGTTAGAATGATAGTCCCAACCGTTGCTGCTACCTTGGCGTGGTGGTCGGGCTTACTTATCGTCATGAACCAATCGAGCTATACTGGCTGGAACAGTCGTTCTTTAATGTCCTGCCATGCCAGTTAGGTCAGTTAAAGAGGGGTAAGTCTAAAAGCAGCAAACCCAAGGTTCGAGGAAGATCGTACTGCTGGCTGTACGGAGGTGTGGCGGCAGTAAGGTATTTCCCTCAGACAATCAGCATAACAACGATGCTGCCTTCCCACAAGGGAAGGTGGGGTTAGAAAAGGTCGACCCTAAAAATATACACCTCACCGTATGGAGGTGGCCCCGTTTAAACTATTATGTTCAAATAATATTTTAGCTAAAACCTTAGAGTTGGACGTAATACCATGTCAGTATGGGGGTTGTGGAGATCCACGAAATTGCGCGACCAACTTCCATTGTACTGGATTGGTTGATGTTAGACACTAACACCATTGGATGCCGGCTCAGTGGTCTAGTTGGTTAAGCGCCTGGCGCGAGACCGATAGGTCCTGGGTTCGAGTCTCGCAGGGAGCGGGATCGTGGATGCACACTGCTGAACAGTCCCATACTAGGACGAAACGGCCGTCCAGTGCTTACAGGTCTCCAACGGTGGTCTAACATCAATTGATTCATGATCTCAATCAAAAACGTAATACCATGTGACTAATCTCCCACCAGTAGGTTAACTTGTTGGCTTAGTATACGCAGATGACGTAGTCCTGTTTGGTGAAGATGCTGATAAAATGCAGAGTCTTTTGGTAGCACTGAGCAACAATGCCAGAATGTTTGGAATGCGCTTCTCTCCCTCTAAATGCAAGTTGTTGCTCCAGTACTAGCCTGGGTCAGAACCTGAACTAAGGATAGGGAGTGAAGTAGTCGAACGCGTTGACAACTTCACTTATCTTGTAGTCTGACCAGCCCTAATGGGTTGGTGTCTTATTTATTTATTTAAACACATAAACATTGGTACAAGGAGGCACCAAATAGATATGCGTGTCTGAAGAAATCTCAGCATGGATTCGAAAAGCTCGTTTGGCTTTTGCCAACTTACGACACCTGTGGCGAAAGCGAGATATCCGTCTATCAACGAAGGGACGAGTATACTACGCAGCAGTTCGTTCTGTTCTACTTTACGGCTGCGAAATGTGGCCATGAAGAGTAAAGGATACTGGCAAGTTACTAGCATTTGATCACAAATATCTCAGGAATCTTCCTCGTATCTTCTGGTATTACCGGGTAAGTAATAGTAAGGTTAGACGCAGGGTATTAGGGAATGATGGTAAATTAGTTTATGAGGTTGTGAATCTTCATCGATTGAGATGGTTGGGCCACGTGTTACGTATGCCTGAACACCGTTTACCACGACTCACAATGCTGACTTGTGTTGGGGATGGTTGGAAGAAATTTAGAGGTGGCCAAACCAAAACGTGGCATCAGTCCTTGAAGACACTAACTTCTAGTCTGAGCCATGTTGGTAGATGCAGACTACTTGGTTGGGGTCCGCGTGACTTTCGTAACCAATGGTTGGAGACTCTTGGTGACATGGCTCATAATCGATCACAATGGCGTAGATGTATACACACTTTGTCTTCCCTTAAATCCTGAAAATAAAATCACTTTATACGTTTCTTTCTACGTACTAATTCTTTCTACCTACATCATATTCTTGTACTCAATCTTTTTTAATCTATCACTGTCATTGAAGTAACTGATTCTATGAATTCGGTGTTCATCTTGTTGTGCTAATGAGGTATGGCAACTTGAACCGATGCATATTTGTGCCTGGTCCTACGTTGTAGATGACTGACAGAATGATGGTCATTAATTTTTTGTGTAAGATTAGATAATGCTACTTTAATATCTGAAAAAAAATCTGATCTTAATGATCCTTGAAACAGTTCAAAGAAATAAATACTTACACTTGTATGTCATTGCTACATGAAATAATACAATAAGTTCTCCTGAATTTTTTTATGTTTCAAATTAATAGTTTTTTGATGAAATTACGTTTTATTTTTTGTTGTAATTTTTTCATTTGAAATGATAACGAAAGCTTCCACATGTTAAATCTATTTCATTTGTTTTTATAATAATTTATTGCTGTAACGAGACTTCTTACATTAATTCATGTTGTTGTTTAGAAAAAATAGTCTTGTAATAAGAAAAAAACGATATGGTATCTGATATTTTAAGGATGATGACGGTTAATTCTTGAATTCTCTGTTGAGATCAACTCAATGTTTTTTTTACCATGGTCTTGTTTTATACTGTTATTATTAACGACTTTCATATGAAGGATAATAAAGAATATTTGCTTTTCTCTATTTAATCAAATCGAAATGACATTTACTTTGCTCTGTCTTTAGTTAATCAATTAAGATTGTAGATATTTTTATCACGTTGATCGGTAGAATTTTCTGGTTGTCTCATATTCCATAAAATCTTAGTTTTGAATTCTGGGTGGCTTTTATATCACATTTAGTGTAGGGACTACTATAAAGAAATCAGTAGCATTAAAAATAACGGGCTGTCTTTGTTTGTTGACATAATCCTTCACTAAATACCAACTTATTTTAAAAGTTATGTTCTTCAACTTAAATTCTTATTTAAATGTTGGATGTTTCCTTTCTGTTGACTAAATCGTGAATTTTATTTGGTTTTCTCCCTCAACATACGTTTGTTAAAATATTTTCAGTCATCTGACGATAGATGAGGACATGTGCCATCTGTTTTTATTGTTTGTTTCGATATCGTTTTACTACTTTAAGGTCAAACACAACGGAGCATAGTTATGGTTGTGCCTTTATTCAATCTAATCACTTGTATCATTTCAACTCCATCATTCTTAGTCTTGTTTCCTGTCTTCACTAACAACTCAATGACGTTTTAATATCAAGCAAAAAAATTTTTCAGGGCATATTATACATTATAAATTCATGTTACTATATTTATTAAGAACTTCACTCACATGTTACTGTTAACCAACAAATTTCTACTTTCTACCCCTTTGTTCCTATTCCTTTGCTAACTGTATAGTTGCTTGGATTAAAATTTAACATGTACTCAAACTATAACTAGTTTGTGTGAGAGAATTCGAAGATTTTTTTGTCAAAAGCATATGAGTTGGACATTTATAAAAATAAATAGTTTATGACCAACTAGTGTTGTAAGTTAAAACTATCCCTAAAATTATTCGTTTTCAGAAAAGGTATGTGAAAAGTTCTAAAGAAAACGAGTAGTTCATAGATCTGAAATCATAACATTCGTAAAATGAGTTATTTGTACCAGCATTAAATGGATTATGTTATACAACATTTGGGAATTGAAAAATATCTTAGCCTCTTGACGCAGTATATTAACTTTGCTCAAACAACTTGAAATAATCGCATGCTATTAATAAATTAAAAATTAGTTTACTAAACCACTTGAAGGTACGTACTGTCCATTTGACTAGCTCAAAACAATGATAGTTAAATTTCACTATTTCAAACTATAAATTGACTAGATTACTAAATAGTTCATCGCCTCTTTGTTACTACACAATAACCTAAGTAGATTAGAACTATCTTAAAGAGATTCCCGTATTTACCTTTATTAATATAACTGCTAACAGTGCTTAATTGTCCAAAGCTTAGTTTGTGAGGCGACCGTCGAACATATATCCCATTATAGCGAAAATCCACATTACAGTAATACTGAGCCCTAAAACTCTATCATTCATATGATACTTGTAACTTGTCTGTACCTGGACCTTAAAAGTAAATACATCATCAGTGTTATCTTTTTCCGTTTGAACAGTTTCTTATTTTTCTTTTCTACTTCAGTTTCATGTGTTATCATATTCCTAAATAATCATTTCTTTTATATTTTTCTAGTTTATTTTCCTTGCTTCAGTCATTGATCAGTTAACTAGAACATAATCTTATACTCTTTTTTCTTAGATGATCATAATACATTGCAATAAATAAGTTATGTGTGATTATACTATGTTTTTTGTTGAGATAACTGTACATCATATTTCCTTTTTTACTCGTTTCTTTATATCTCTGTGCTCTAAAATCTATAATTTGTATTTCATCTACTATAATGTTATTATTTACATAAATTGGATTTATGCCAGTAAATAAACATGCAGGAGATTAAATATTTCTCTCTTTCTTTCTCTCTCTGTCTGCTGTTATAATCAATGTGAGAGCTAAATATATATTTGTTGTGATTGTTATTTTTTATACCATACACAGCTAAAGATAGATATTGGTGTTATTAGTTATGTTTGTATTATGTAAAAACAGGGAAATAAGCATCAATAGACGTCTGACCACTAACATTATCAACAGCAAACACATTATGATTATTTAACCAATTGGAATGATTTATATTGAATATATTTATGTTTACCAATTTAGCTGTCTTCATCATTTGTATTCAAGCTTTTTTTCTTTTTCTTATCCCGGTTTGTTCTTCATTTCTCCTTAAGAATGGACTATAATAGGATCGATTATTAAAGATAAGCTGCTCTTTTGAACAAACAATTTGTCAATTCATCTGTTTGAATTATACAACACATACAGTGTTCTAAATAGTCACATAATTAGTCAGTTGAGTACGCTTATATTTTTGTTCATTTCTTGTTGATTGTTCAATGAAAAGTAAATTTAACGTCTGGTATTGTATTGAAATAGACTTGAGTGTGTTTACTATATGCTAATTAGCCAAATATGTTATTTAATAGAAACATTAAAATGTATATCTTGTTGGTATCCACGCTACAATGTTCAAATAATTGAACATAAAAGCAAAATCTTGAAGACTACTTACTACTTAGTATGATTCAAGTTTTCATTATTATCTAATTGTAATGACTTGAGACAAAACATATGCATCAGTATTTTAACCTGAACGAAGTGCTGATTGTTACTAATGGTAAAAGTGTTTACTGCGACTGCAGACTAACTGATAAGTGCTACTTATTGCAACGGAACAAGACTGCTATACCGACCCAAGTAAGAAAATGCGACTGTGGAAGAAGACTACTTTATTCACCAACCATTAATAAGGCGACATCCACAATAGTAGTCTAATATGTGACTCTTATCAATGATTTAGATGTTAAAATATATTTCATGTACCGTTATCTGGCTAGTGAAATGAAATGTCACATTTTCAGACAAATCATATTTAACAAATTAATGTTTAAGTATTTTCATCACTATTTAGGGAACTTTTTCTTCTGATTTAATGTTTGATGAAGTCAATAAATAAAATTTTTCGATTAATGTTTGAGATGCATGCTTCGGAGTTGCCATATTGCTACTAATCATTAACACAGTATATCAAGGAAGTGTATTTAAAGTTCTTATTTGGCTCTTATCGAAGTCAGACTAAGCAACATTGGCTGTCAAAACCATGAAATGGTTTCGCATCTGATTGGAACCACTGAAGTACATATATGTATAACATGATGGAAAATTTTGTAATTAAAAATAAGTAAAATTTGGTGCATATTATCTTAGTTATGTCCATAACTAGCCAATCAAATCGTTGTTTAGGCGCCTATCACGTCAATCTGGTCTGATGTGTCTGTAAACTATCCCTGTTGCATGTGACTTACTAATTGAAAGACATCCTATTGTATTATTGTGACTCGTAATTTTATTCATTACGATAGGACATGCAATACTGGTCGGTATAAATAGATAAAGTTTAAAGCCATGTTGTCCTTGTTCTGACTATAGCTTTCACATAGACTCTGCTCGACAGTATCGGGTTTACGGTTCTAGTAGTATATCTGTAGGACAAATCAAATCCTACATATTACCTTGTACATCACATGATTACTGATTCGATTTCATTATTTAATATGCCTTATTACTGTGTTTCTTTGCCTTTCTTATGAATCACATGTTATTTTCATTGATCAAAAATTAAATATTGACGATTGTGTTATATAATAGAAGACTTCTAAATTATGAAATGTAATGAAAACAGACGTCTTTTTCAATTAAACCAACTTTTTACTATTATCTTCTATTACGATTAAAGTTGTCTGCACAATAATGGTGTCACATAATTTGGTTGTTATTATATCACCATAATTTGGACTAATAAATGTATATTTTTCAAAAGTTAAAAAATATTTCACTGATTATACAACTTATTTTTCATTGATCAGATAAATTAGGGCATGGTTATCATGTTTAGTGCTGTTTCGTAAAAAACATAAAGTAGGAAACACTGGAAATTCATACGTTTAGTTCTAACGAATTTTTCAATGTTACCTTCAGAAGTAGAAAATAGAAAATACTGATGGCTGAGGTTAAATGCTTAGAATAACTTTTTATACTGAGTTTGAATATCTAACTTATGTTCAAGATATTCGCTTTACTCCTCGGTTTAGTGTTCACTAAGGAATGAATTTGGTTAAATTACATTTATTTTGTGACCTGCGGTGTCTGATTTTGGTACTGATACATAATTTCCTTATACAAGAGCCAAACAGTATAGTAAAATGAAAAGAATGTGAGTGAGAAGAGGGTTTATTGACTATCAGAATTGGCATTTATGCATGATCATTCCTATATATATATATTTGAAAATTGAGTCACGAATGCTATATGTCCCATCGTTATGCAATTTAAGCCATTTCTTAACCAATCACGTAGTTTTATAGGTATCAACACCAATTGTGGACTTGATAGTTTGAAATAAATTTTTCGTAGCGACATTCTGACATACAAATTATTACATTAACGTGTTAAGTAGATCCAAATTTTCACTGACATATACCTATTATAATTTTGATTGCACTAAAAATATTTTCAGCTGTTTCCTTTGTATTATTTACACTTGCGTTAATTCAATTTCGGTTATTTATTTGCTCTGGATAAGTGGCCTAAATTGGGTCACGAAACGTGAAAAATATAATTTTTCTACTCATTGGGATATAAGAAAAATGTATTTATTATCAATCACGTGAGGTTATCAGTCGACGGGCTTGTAATAAACCCAGTGTGTCACCTTTCCCTCCTGAAAAAAATAGGTTTGGCTTCTCGTATTCGGCTTCAGGTGTTAGGATGGGGCACAAGTTATTTTAAGAGGCTGACAGTATGACGAAAAATATTAAAGTGTGTAAAGCATCTGATCATACTGGTATCAACTAGCCACGATAGCAAACGACCGTCAATTTTTTCAGACCATTATACCAACTACGTATTTAGATTAGAAGCCGACGGTATGCGTTTCCCAACTTCAAATAGTTCACAGTATGATGTATTGGTCAGTGGAAACCAATTTTACTTTTTAGTTCAGTAGATTCTAAAAACCACACTTCCGTAAGGAATTTTCGGGGTATGTATCTCTTTAGTAGTACATTTTAGTATCAAGTGAGACAACTACTTTGACATCTTGATTAAACTTTGACGCCACATTAAAGCATTCGGGGTATATTACCTGAGTCGTCTATTTATTGTGATCCTATCATAATATGACTATTCTTTGGAGAGTATTTTACTAAAAAATAGATTACCAGTGAATGCAAGTAATGTTGTACTGCCAGTCGTACTCATGGATAACCGATTTCTTCTATGAATGTGCTTCGTTGCTACCATAAAAAGAGGTTGAACTTGAGAAGTCATATACTTTATTGCCACAATAATTCATGACCATCCCAATCAGAAATAATTTCCATGAATGTAATAAAACAGGACATATCATTAGAATACTCGGGTCACTGGAATTTATTCCAGTTATTATCGTTTTTCTTCTGCACTTTCACTGTTTCCAAGGTTTTCAATTGTTCTGTACATTATGTTATGTTATACTATGAATCCAAGCTCTTACCATCGCATAGCTTTTCCGCTTAGATAGATTATTTCTAGTTTATCGGTCAGTAGTACATCACATAAACACCTATCTCCTTTTTACAATCAATTCTACACATAACGATCAACTCTAGGTAGGTGTAAAGATGTATTTCAATGGCGCTGACCTTTAAATACTACGAGATTTTGGCTAGCAATTAAAACTTGATCACAGTGTTGATAACCGTATGCTAGTCAATCTCTTGGTTCATAAATTTATTTTTCTCAGTGTTGGTTAATATTGAGTTCTTATAGTTGAGATAATTGCTATTCAAAAACTATGTATCAGTGAATATATTGCCTTGAATACAGTTGTCTTCCAGTATTCTGAAGCATGGGAGATGATGGATTGTTTACTTCATTTTGATTATATCCATTTTAGAAAGGTTAAGTATATTTCTTAACTATGGGACGAAATGATAAACGTTGGTTTTCCCATGTATTTGTTTTGTATTTCACTTAATTTTCTTCATTCTGCATACACCTGAGTTGTTTGTGTAAAATATCTACATTAGCTTTAAACGATTTTAACTTTTGTAGAAATTCCGCTTTATCATGTCTTAAATGCATGCGTCTCATTTGGCAATTTACATGGTCAAGATAATAGTGTGTATGGCGTTTCTACAGTACCTATTGGTAGTAAAGACTCTGGTCTGCATCATCCATCAGATTCAACAGATCCACATAAGAAAACGGATAGTCCTACAACTAGTAAATTTGCATCTGATAATCAAACTGATCAACCATTACTTGAATCTTCAACGGAATCCAGTTCATTACAACCACTTAAATGTGTTATTGATGAAAGTGTATTTGATGTAGGCAAAGGATATCATTTGATAGGTAAATTAAAATGTTGCTTTTCACTGTTTCTTTTCTATTGTCTATATAGCGATTTGTTGACTATTTTAAACTGTATACATTAAGATAGAATATAAATGTAGATGAAACGTGCTTAGATTTGCTTTTTTAAAGGTGTCTTTGGAAGAGTAGCAAGTAACCTTGTGTAACAAATTGGTGCGTCCACGAAAGTATCATACAGCAACTGTGAATCAAAATAGCAAGAAACGTACTTAAACACTGTATTGCTGTAGTAAACGAGAACGCATGTGGGGACAGCCGAATATATTTCAACACAAAATTACAGAATCTCTTATTAAAATCTGAGAACCATACAGTAAATATTTCATTTGCAAAATGTCAGGCGATCGTCTCAGACTTCGTTGTTCCTTCATTTCCACACCAATCATTCTCTGTTCTCGTTCTCTTTTCTTTTCTTAACCTTCTGCCTCCAGGCAATTCACTTTTGATTGATGATACTACTTATATCTGTCGACATCAGTAGCACACACCACACTACGACTGATTTACTTCATAAGAAAATGGGGACATACATATGAAACTCCTCTGGATCATTATATGAAATCGCTGCATTTTTTCTTTAGCAAGAGAAATGATTTAAAAAAGAAGTACTTTGGTACTAAGATCTCCAATCTCTACAAAATTAACGACTTGTTTAAATTAAATAAAACGTGAAGGTTGATTTAAGTCTGTTAAGTCCCTACTTTGTAAAGCGGGAATAGTGTTAGGAAAAGTTAAAGGAAGATAAAAAATGAGTCTCTTATTATCAGTTAGTATTGTTCTGTTACTTACTGGCTAACTTGAGTTTATTGATGGAAAAAAATAAATTGAATCCTTCACTACCTAAGTCACTGTGTATACATATACGACTTACTCTGTAATATTTTTAACAAACAATGACGAAAAAGCAGTTGCAAAATATAACTAATGAGTGTACTACTCTGCATAGAGTTGATTAGTACAAATTCTTGAGCTTTTAAAAGTTTAGAATAATGTTTTATGATTCCTATCAAAAAACACGAAATTCATTTCATATACTGAATAGTATTACGTGAAATTCATTAATGAAGTTAGCCGTTCCATTCTCATCATTACTTTTGAATTATGTTCTATACTTCTATCCACATTAACCCACTGTTGTCCAGTTTATTCGCTTTTGAAGTAGATTTCTTACTGTTAGCTTCCAATTTCAACTAATAATATTATTTCCCTTCCTCGGCTTATCATGTTCCACTAGTGTGAGTATGGCAGTTTTAACGGGTACACATTCATAGTAAACCTTAAGGTATCTACAGTTGCCTAACTCCAACTGATTGTAAACGTTTTTATCAAGTTTTAAGTTTAAACGGTTAAAAATAGAGATAGACATTAGGGAACAGCACTAATATAATGATAAACTTATTTAAAACTCTCTTAATGAGTCGCTATTTCTTTAAAACAAAAAATAACTTTTATTTTGTAAAGTTGAGAATTCACCTGGACACTATGGAGCTTTGTATGATGAAGAGCAAATGGTTCAAATGGCTGTTCAACGAAGTTTAGTAGAATATGGATCATCGGAAAACTTGATACAAAGAGATTATTCATTGGTAGGTCCCTTCGAAACGATTTCTCATTTTTTATCCATTTGGAAAAAAATCGTTATTTTTATAATTTTACTGAGATCTAATTAATGTAAAGTACTTTGTCTAAAATAACACAAATCACCTCCTCGAAATATGTCATAAAGTTATGAAGTAAATTTTCCCGACAATTATAAAAGATATGCTGAATTAAAACTGCTCAAAAGAATACACTTCTAAAAATTTCAAATTATCACTTAACACTACTTAAACTTTGTCTAATCATACCGTTTTGTGTATGACTGTTTTCAAGTGTAACCAAAGTTTGATATTACTGGATGAATATTAAAATTTATTTCATTATTAGTATTTGGTAGACCATTATGGTTCAACCATGCAATCGACTGAGGTTAACCAACGTATTTAGATAAAGATCATTTAATGCTTTCATTTAATGTGTTTTTAGACATTGATTGCTCATTATACGCCTTATTATACAGTGACTTCTTGATTCAACTTCTTTTATGGTGTTCTATAATGATGTGGAACTTCTTTTTAGTATTAATTGGTGTTAACAGTCTTTTTTTGCAACAACTATTCAGTTTAAAATGGATTGGATTATTTCATCGTTGATATTTTGACTGGAATCTGATTATTCTCGGTTGGCATATGTGCATCCGATGCGGATTACCTCGATATTGTCATTGTGAAAAACTAGTATAAAATAGACGGAGTGTGGCTAGCAGGAGAATCCAAGATGTGCGTTTCATCCTATTTGGGACTCATCAGCGGATGTAGCTACATGCACCTGAATTAAAACTCATACCCGTTTTATAAGTGAACGGCTATTTTGACTCAGTAGCTAAATGGATTAAGCGATGGTGTTTGAAGCGGATGGTTTTGGATTGGAGCCTCGGAGTTAAACATCAACTCTAAGATCCATATACATCCGGCTGACAAATCCCAAATAGGACAAAACGCTCATCTAGAATCCCACTGCTAGCCATATTCTATCTATTCTATAAAAAAATTATTCAGAATTTAACTAACTATACAAGCCGCATCAGAATAAGTTGACTAACAAATTTTATGAGAAAATCTTTTATACACATAACTGCGCTCAAACCTTATTTTAATTTATGATAAGAAATGATCTTTTTTATGGGATTTTATTGTAATAAGATAATATTTTCTCAGAAAAAAAACTTTAGATTACTGAGCATTTATTTTGTGTTCTTTTTTGCTCATTTCCCTTTACTAAGTCTAAACGAGGTATAGTTGAGGCGAGAGCTGATGAATACGTTGAACCAGAAGAAGCTTGGATGCAACAGTAAGCATTTGTACTTATTCAATTCACTGTTTATGGAGGTAGTATTTAATTTAAAGTTAATTTACATCACAATTTGACCATGGTTAGCCATTCAATGAGGCGTTTTCAGTTTCAAAACAATAGCAAACTTGCTTATTCTAATTCACAGCTTTGTTTAATGATTTTTTCCTTTTACTCAATATATTTCGTCCTGAACTTTGATTGATCGATTTTAAGGCAACGCCCAGAAAAATTCAGTGTATATAAATATATGTATATCACAAATCCTTGAACTTCACACCAATCCAATAATGATTTCGAATAAACAAAAATAGTCTTTTTTAGTGCTGTTCACTAGTGCTTTCTCTCCTCCAGACGAATGCCCTTTGATAGTGGATCATCTTTGGCTCTATGAGCGACTGTAGTCTGGCTGTTGAATGTTCAGTATACAACTCGATGGTAGCTTTAAAACTCCAGGTTTATGAAACTTGCCCTTTGTAAACTGAAAATGCTCGTTGACTTTACGTTCTTTCATTTTTGTTTCAAACTGATTACTCAATTATGTCGTTAATAATGTCAAGTCCAACACCGCGGTAATAGTTCAGTTGATATCGTAGCCTTGAAACTCTAGTTAAGGTAGGTATCTTGGGAATAATTTACTGTGGAAGCTTCATTATTATTTGATGACTTGAAATATGAATCGAAGGTGCAAAGAGCTAGTTATATTGTGATATGTTACCTTTTTATGTAAACATAGTTATATGGGACTGATAGCTATTAGTGTATCACAACGTCCTGATTGAAATCCTAAAAACCATGCAACTCATAAGTTTGGGACGTTATCGAATATGGCTCCGAATGGAAGTCAGTAACTGTCTTGCTGTAGTTTTTTAATAAATTTTCCATAAAGTTGAGATGAACCCTTTTAATTAAAAAGAATTTCTCTTGTCTTTTAAATTGAAGTATGAATTTCATTAAATCCTGTCGTTGCCTATGTATTCGTTTATTGTATATTCTCTATTTCTTTTCCTCATAATGTTATCATTCTGTCATACTGGTGTTCGAGTCCACCAAGAGTTTATAAATAAACATGAATAATTAATAAAGCTTTTGTAATTGTAGTAATAAAATAATGATATGTCAGTGATATTCTAATGAGCAAAAATTAGAATTCCTAACGTCTTGTGACTTAGTGCAAGGTACTTCTTCAGAATAAATAAGTAATTAAATTAAATTAAGGGAATTTTAAACAGTAGTTGATATAAAAAAGAGATTTGGTTACCTGCTAGTTTTTGTAATACATTCTGATAAAGCATTGAGCGGGTGATCCATAAGTGATGATTCACAACCAAAACATATTTCTTTTTTATACTTGGCATCATCCCCTTGTGTAGTGCTGTGTTTCGTGCGAGGTTATTACTGGTAATATAGTTTAGAATTAGATGTAGATAGGCTAGTCACCATATGACTTGGTCTCGAATTCATTGGATATTTCTTCTATCTTGGTGTCGCCAACACGTAAGTTGAAATAAATCAACCAAAGTTTCGCAGTATATAGCTTTTTGCCAAATAGAAATACCGCATGTAAATATCATTTTTAAAGTACCCTATATCGATTGTTCAGTATACAACTCACACACACAAATGTGTGTGTGATGAGGAAATCACAAAACCATAAACAAAAACCATACGTGATGTTTATTTTTACAAGTTATCATCTATTTAAACAGTATTTCAGACCATACAATTAAACATCCTTGACCTCTTCAAATAAATCTGGTTGTGTGAAGCCATTGTTTCTAGATGTGAATACTCTTTCCAATTTGAATCTGAAAAACGTATGTCTGCTCAAACAGACAAACCAGCACCTTAACTTGGTTGGATAGTTGATTATTACCTTTTCAAATTAATACAACTAAGTTTCCTGTTATTCTAAATAGCTTTGCCGTTAGAAGCACTTAATTGTCTTCAAGAACACCATGTATTAGTATTGTTGATCCAAACATTGATTGTATTCTAAAGTATATGAATTACTACTCTAAGCCTTTTCATTTCCCTTATTTAGTTGTAATTTGTTGGTATGATTTGATTCAATTGATGATTCACAAATTATATTGTAGTACTTTTTATACATGTAGATATGATAAGTATGCATATTCTTAGTGAGATTATTTCAATATTTTGTTTCTTATAGAGCAATCGCAGCCAGTTTAAGTCTTGACGGTGCTGAAATTCCTGTAACAAGTGCGGATGCAGCATATATGAAAGCTTTAGAAGAATCTCGTATTGAACAAGAACTTGAAGAAAAACGTCGCCGAGCTGAGGATGAAGAATTAGCACGTATACTTGAATTGTCAACCAAAGAAAAATAACTGATTATCTTGTTCTGTTTTACAAAATTTGATAAATCATATCTTTGTTCGTATACGGTATATCCCTTTCGAAAACACTTACACGCAAATACATACTAGTGTCAAACTATAACAATAATAATGGAAGTCCAACATTGCTTCATCATATCACATGTGATATAAAAACAAAATTAACCAAAAATGTATTGTATGCTACCTATTCGATCCCTGTATAAAACTTATCCGACTTGATAGTCAAACAAATCGCTTTCATTCATCTTCCCACTTCATACAAAAATGTCTGCATAGTTGATAGTCATTTAGTACTGATTTTTAACCTTTAATATATTCGTATGGAAATTATATAACTAATAAGAATATAATGTATGCCTTCCTGCTTTGGAACTGCTACTAATGAAGATATAACAACACTAAATTATATTTTAAATCTGTGCATTAATGTTATTATTTATAGCCTTGCTTAATACGCTTATTTTATTATCATTAGTTAATGCTGATGTAAAACGATTCTTGTAATGTCGTCTTTATCGCCTTCTGTTTAGCAAATATATCTGTTCTTAATGAAAGTCTACTGTATAAATACATCTTCACTATATTATCTGAATGCTTTGTGTAGTAAGCGTAATTCCCCCCCCCCATAGCTTTAACTCTCCCAACAATAATAGTTAAAACAAATAAATGTTTCTCAGTTTTATTTCTTACGCTTAACCTGATCCGATTAATTTAATTGATAATGGTAATAATCATTCTAGTCAGTAATATATGAATATTCTTATCCGTCTTTTTGTGCATTATTATTTTATCCTATCAGTCATGTAACTGCTTTTTGCTGTTTATTTTAATTTCTCGTTATTATTTGGCTTCATTTTTTAGTAATATCCATGTGATTCGATAATTAATCATTCTTATGAAAATTATTATTGGACATCGGATTCGTCTGTGTATGGTGTTTGCTATTATTCTTATTTTATGAAAGGTTTAACATTGCTTATGTAACATGTCCAATCGATTGCTATAATATGACTAATCGATGTTTTATGTTTATTCGTCTAATTGGATTAATGTGGTGTTACACAGGATTATTAGCTTAGCTGTTGTCTTTGAAACAAAATGATTCTGCAACTTTCAACTGAAAGTTTCAGACCTCTGGTTATTGTGATCGTAAAAAACTTTCTCAGTCACCCAATGTCAACAGTCCATTAGTGGTTTTATCATGATGTCATTGAATTGTGAAATCACCATACTACCTTGGCCTTCTATACACAGTAACAATTAATTCAACTATCTTACTTCTGTTAAATTATTAATCCTATGGTTAACCTTGCTTACCTCAACGCTCTACTTTCATGCTAACATCGCTCCTGAAACGACAAGATAAATCAATAGTTTGTCAATTCATAGAGTATTTATTTTTTGAGTTATCCTCTTGTTTCTAAGCCTAAGGCAAGTATTTGTCCTAAATATTTCCCCTAGAAAACTGGTCGCTTGCGATAGACAGTCAAACTAAACGAAGTTCATTAATAAAACTTATTAAACATCCTACAATTTGCTCATCCAGAACCATGTCTACATTGAATACCTGAAATGTTACTTATCAATAAAAGTAGTAAGATTTCAAGCCCCATTCTTTTTACAATACACATTTTTCATAATTGATTGATCACTGGGTGGTGATCAATGTCATGCTTGTCTAGTCCTTATTAGTGCAGATCGAATGCTGTCGATCATGTTGACTACCTCCAACCACCATCTAAATCTCAATACATAGTACCCGCAGTGTCGAGTCACCTAGACTGGTGGCCACATTGCAACATGATCGATAGCATTCGATCTGCACTAATAAGGACTAGACAAGCATGACATTGATCACCACCCAGTGATCAATCAATTGTGATTACATCTCAGTCCTACAGGAGGTTAGTCACGGCTCGGATGGCTCAGTGGTAACGTCTCTGACTGTGAAGCTGGGTGACACGAGATCGAATCCGCCAGGGAGCACCAGTTCCTTCAAGATTACAGGTATACCTTGCTGACGAGTGCCAAGTAGCACGAAACCCGGGTCCAGGGTTTCCTGTTGACTACCTCCAACCACCATCTAAATCTCAACACATTTTTCATCAACGCACTAGGTCTCGACTGAATACCTAGATTAGTTCGATATGTGTAAAAGCAAGTGAGTTTCCTATAAGTGCTCCCTCAAAATAGCAAAGAGGATGCATGTGATTATTTGTTCGGTATCTTAAGGTAATTAAACAGAGACTTCGTGATCAAATTTATCTAGCTGTTATCAGTCAAAGTATTCCTATCAATTATATATATATAAGCTAAGAATTAGCTAAAATCGTATCATATTTAATAAGAACTTAAAGTTAAAGGATTACTATATGGATAAATCCCTGTGTTTATCCAAATTTAATGAAAGATCTACTACTTTTCCCCTCTCCCCAAACGAAAATCTTATACTAAACGTTTCAGAAAATTCATTGTTGTAGATTGGTGGAAAGAAGCAGAGGATCTAATTCAAATCATTTGCATAAATACTTTTTCATGGAATTACAAGTGTCGACTCAACAATCAATGATTCACATTTTAAGGACCTCTAATTTTTCAACTAATACCTAAAAATAACGATGATAACTGAGCGTTTGTTTTTCTTCTGTGGTGTTAATCAAATAACTAGAAAAGTGATTTCTAGACTTTTTTCAAAATTACCCAGTAGTAAAATGTAAAACTTCTCAACTTTAAATCGACTAGTCTGTATCTAGTTGTAATATGATCCATTTAAACTAAAAATACGACAATATAGAAACATAGAGAGGTTCATCAAAATGGTGTTGCCAAAAGTCATACGTTTTGAAAATAATTTATTTCTAAAACCCAAAGCATCCAACCCAACTGACAAAACCAGGAAATAATTAAATTACTGGCTGGTCTGGAAATAAAATTATCAAAAATAGGTTGTTTCATGAAGTTGTAAACAAAGGGAAAGTTGACAGATGCTTAGAAGGAAATATATTTACTGAATGATAAATACGTAATGGTTGATTTAATAAAAATTCATATTAGATATCACTGGCGGGTAGTATCCTGCCTTTCAAGATCGTTATGTTTTTGATCAATTTGAGTACACCAGTCTGGAACTAAACCATTTTCCAAGAAATTAGACCGACTCAGCGAACGTCCTGGTAGACATTCGAGCGCACCAAAAATTGCTCCTGTAGAGAGGAAATGAGGTACATCATTTTGAATTTATTCCTTACTAACATGATTTAATGAGTGCTGATAAAAATACATTAATGAAAAATAATGTGGAGTCATAAACTGATATTTATGAACAAATATTCATATTATTTCATCTACAATTACGGCATGGGCAGGTACACTAGTTTTTAAAAAAATCAAGTCCTGATAATTCCAGGTTAGTTTATCGCAACACACATCCTTTAGAAATGAAATTATCACTTCTTATATATTTTAACCTCGTGAACATTTTTGATTCTTAGTCTACAACCCATTCCATAAAATACGAGCCCGAGTTAAATAACGTACATAGAATGAAAAATGATAGTTTGACAAATAAGTTGGTTGTGAGAAACAGCTGAGCAGTAATTAACTAATTGTATGGATTGAAAAATAAAGAAGTCAAAATTACGACAAATAATATAATATGAAGGCTTATTAGCAACAAAATTTAAAAACCTACCACCAAGCCATCCTATGTAATTTGCTTCACCAGGAGGATTGTGAAACTTAAAACATCCCTTTAAAGCTTGTAACTTTGAGAACTCAGGAAGTTCGACAAATGAATTGAGTTCCTCCATTAGACGAGACACGAAGCCGGGTAGCATGGTTGTGCCACCAATAAGTACAATATTTTCTGCCAACTTCCTGTTATATGGAAAAGACCACTGTAAAACACTGTATCAAGTGGAAATGGCAATAGAAAATAAAGTTGAACACCAAGAAGCATATATTTATTCAGTCACTGTTGCCCATAGCTTTTAACTAGTGAGGTGTAACACCAACATTCAAATCCACTTTCCTAAGAGCTTATTACTACAATGCGATATTGGTCAGCAAAAACTGATGAACTGTCTGAAAAAACCAGAAAAATGCGTCTTAGAAGTGAAAAAGCGAACAATAACCAGGATACTTAATCTAAAACAAACAAAAAACTTTAATACTCACCTTTGAATCACGCATTTAGTGTGGTCTAGTGCCACCACCAGTGTTTGAACCGAACTAGGTGATTTAAGGTTTGACCCTACGGCCAACTAGATGAAGGATGATTGTTACAGAAAAAAGTCACCGCCACCTAGAGCCTGCTAGTCTTTGTTGCATTACTGAGGTACTCATACCCTGAAAAGTAGTATACTGGACCCTGTGAAACTAATATGTAATAATTTCTGGAATTTAGAAAGATCCCTCTATAAATTTAGTTCGAATTGTAAGAAGTTAACAAAGTTAGTTAGAGACACCACCAACTGATATTACAACAAGGCAGTTTATTAACTAATGAGTTGTCACATTATCTTTGTTTCATAAAATCAAACATCATTTATTAGGTTAATTTACTTGGTGTTCAAGAGACAATAAAAGTAGCCTGGTTAGGATATATAGACTACAGTGTAAGTGCATAATGTTCGTAACCAAAGTTCTGGAAAAGTTGGCTTTGTAAATCTCTTCTGAAACCGTAAATCCCAAGTCATTTTTGATCGAATATTTAAGAGTTCATCAATAACTGTGTCCTGTCATCATGAGACACAACACAGCGGCCATCAATTTGTTTGCCAGATGCAGGCTTGTGAATTTAGGTTAGTGATATTACCCAGTTTATTAAACCGAAATATATGGAACAGGGTTCGAACCCTTACCAACTGATCCACCGCCCTATTGGCGCAGTTGCGAGGTCAAACCCCTCTATGTCTCTTTTATGATAGAGAAGATTCCAATATCTAATTTTCCTAGTATTTAGTCACCAGCTAAGCAAACAAACGTGTGAATAATTAATGAGTATATATATATATATATATATATATATATATATATATATATATATATATATATATATATATATATACAAAGTAAATGATTTGGGACCTGACTATCTCAAAGACAGTTTTCATTAGGAATCAATATATTACTGCGGCTTGCATGCACTCATTGAGTGTGCAAACTACCTGCACAATCATACACCAAAAATTCTAACTGGAAGTGAAGACGAAACCTACAAAGATACCACCAGTATTCCACTCATATTACAAAAATCATTTTCAGTCTAGTCCATAGGTTAGCTTGATTTTACGTACAAAATGACCAGGGTATTGCATGACGAGAGATTAGAAGATTCACGTGCAGAGTAAAGTTAATGAGATTAAATACCTTCTAATATCAATAGGTGCCAACAAAATTGATCGTAAAATTAGTGTTGTAATTGTAATTTGGTCATTGTCTCCAGCAAACAAACATTCGACAGCCAACTCTCGGATATCTGATGCAACTTGAATGGGCCTTTCGTTCCCTAACTTGTCTAAGGGGAAAATAAATGTTTCCTGATACAAGTTGGGCTTTGTGACCGATGATTCAGCAGAGTCCTTCCAAGCCTTCCACTGGACTGCCCTATTGTGTGGACTAACAAAACATGTACGAACTAGGAGTAAGCAAATATGAGTGACACTCCACCTTTTATATCTTCAATGATATGTTCCGAAATAAAGCAATCTGGACAGGGGGTTAACTGCGACTCCCCGTTGATAACATCCACCAACTTGGCATTCTCATTTAAGTAACCCCTGATGTTTCTGAAAGTTAACGGACATTACTACATATTACACAAAACATACTCATGAATTCTTTTGCTACCAAGCTGGGCTGACTGCCAAGCGTTCAGTAGAGTGTAACCTTCATAAACCTATAAACACTAAGATGAGGGCGAATATGCCTTACAGGCAGAACTTGAGCATCCATATAACCACAGTCTAATACAACAGCTGACGAAATCCCAAGAGTAAATAGTGCCATCAAGTGGGAAGTTGCAAAAAGTACAGAAGGTGCCTATATCAAACCAAAAAGATATCTGCATTTAGTATTTTACTTCAAAATGATTGAACAAAACGTCGGCCAAAACTTCACGGAATGATGAAGGACATAGAACACTTTCAACTACAACAACTCGTCTGTCCTTCGGGTTTACCAACAAATGTCTACGAAGTGTGAAATAAATTTTGATGATCATACCGATAGTATATATTGTAAAGAAAAGTTGTCAAGAACTCTCGTCTTTTGTCCTTTCCATTACACGAGGATATACTTCTTTTTTCACCTGTGGGCTGAAAATATTAATGATTTTTACAAGTTCGCCAAACCAAAGTGATCTCTGTTGGCATAATAAACCTTGGTCCAGTTTCTCCAGCGAAACCACACCTATCAATCTTGTTAATTACATCAAAAATGCATACTTGGTGTAAACTGAGCCTATGTCAAAAACAACTGCTGTCTTCTCACCGAGCATAAGGGACTCGAGTACGGGCATTTTGCCAGTGACATGTAACGTACTCAGCTAATTGTTAGCTTTTTCAATACTCAATAATCTAGTAACTTAAAACTCATGGGGATGATTGAATAGTTGTTAACTACTTGAAGTTCACACCTAGACTTAAAGACGCGTCTCTGAGAAAATCGTTGGCTCTGATTTTTCATGAACATGAAAAGTTGAAATATTGGTAAATAATCGGTGATCTCGGAAGAACACTTGTACTAATCTCCTTCAATCACATTGGAACTGAAGTAAATGTCAATTACTGAGGTCTTACATAAATGATTGATTTGTTGCCCTATTTTTGCAATGTATAGAGTAGCACTTCGGGATCCATTTAGAATAGGTTCATTCATGTTCTCTGCATGTCCCGCACAAAAGAAAGTACGCCCACAGACGGGCATTTATGTGACCTAAAGGTGAGAGTCTATTCTAAACTCATGAATTATTCGGTGACTACATGGAGATGCCAATATGCAGTTCGGCTAATCAGAATACTCTCGGCTGAAAACCCGAAAATCAGTTACTTTTAACCGCGGTCACACTATCCCCTTCAAAATCGGCTTTGTCGTCGAAATTACTAGTTACATGTTAGTAAAAGTCTAAACTAGCTCATAAGAGTTCCTTCACAGAATTTCACGGGTGCATCTCTTTTTACGATCAGACAATTATCTGTGGTATTTGAGCCGGCACCAAGTTGGACTTTGTTTTATAGTCCTGACAAAAATAAATTCTTAAAGTTCATCTTTCTCTCTTGCATTCACTCTCATCTGGTTGTTTTAAAATCACTTTATGTGAACATGTATAACTGTGGATGTCGGATGATAAGCATAATCCTGAGCTCCAGAACACAGAAAGAGACAGGCGAAATTAAATACTTCTTTGGGGACTTCTCAAGTCTGGTCATAGTTATCTAGACAAACAGCTTTGGCAACTTTCGCAATCTAAAGGCTCGTACAGTTTTTTGAAGAAATCAACTCTAATAAGAGACGGAAAACAGTTATTTGTCATGACTTACCCTATTATTATAACTTCGCCTGGAGTCCCTCTGGGGGCTACTGCCTGTCCCAAGCCCGGATAGAGGAGGAGAGTTGGGCATGAGCTTAGCGACTCCATCCCGTAGAAAACTAACTCGCTAAAAAAACGCTAACCAGAAAAAATTATTCAAACCATTTAAACTCTGCCCTGGGAGTCAGAAGGTCTTCTTTTAGAAGAACTATGACGCCTAATGATGAAAGCCGAATTCCTTCGGAGGTTACGAGGCCGATTCCCCTTCTGACAACCAGAGCGACCATTTATTTAGGTACATGGAATGTTCGTACAATGTGGGACACCGGGAGAGCCTTCCAAATTGCTGCAGAAATGAGGAGTTACAACCTAGAGGGTCTTGGGATCAATGAAACACATTGGACACAAGGTGGACAACAATGACTAACTACAGGAGAGCTCCTGTTATACTCCGGCCATGAAGAAGAAAATGCACCACATACACAAGGAGTTGCATTGATGCTGTCCAAACAAGCGCAAAATGCACTTATAGGATGGGAATCTCATGGACCAAGGATCATCAAAGCCTCGTTTAAAACAAAGAAAGAGGGCATTTCAATGAACATCATCCAATGCTATGCGCCTACCAACGACTACAATGAAGACGCTAAAGATCAATTCTACAATAGGCTGCAGTCAATCATCGAGAAGTGCCCAACCATTCTGATGGGAGATTTCAAAGCCAAGATTGGAACGAACAACACTGGATATGAAGACATCATGGGACGACACGGACTGGGAGAAAGGAACGAAAATGATGAGATTTGCAAACCTATGTGCCTTCAATAAACTGGTCATAGGCGGGACTATATTCCCACATAAGCGCATTCACTAAATCACATGGACGATGGAGGACGTCAAAACCAAGAGAGGAGCTGATATACCATCAGATCATCACCTACTGGTTGCCAAGATGAAATTGAAACTTAAGAAGCACCAAACAACGGAGCGGAGAATATCACAAATGTTCAATACGGCTTTTCTTCAGGATACTGACAAACTCAAGAAATTCAAGATAGTCCTCAGCAATAAGTTCCATGCCTTTCATGATCTACTCAATGGAGAAGGAACTACCATGGAGAGCAGCTGGAAGAGGATCAAAGAGGCAAGTACTTTAACATGTCATGAGGTTCTGGGCCACATGAAGCACCATCACAAGGAATGGATCATTGTTGATACACTGGATAAGATTCAAGAAAGGAGAAACAAGAAAGCAGAAATCAATACCAGCCGAACTCTAGCAGAAAAAGTCCAAGCACAAGCTGAATGCACAAAAGCAAACAAGCGAGTGAAGAGGGGCATTAGAACTGCCAAACGTAAATATGTGTAAGATTTAGCAACGACGGCGGAAAAGGCTGCAAGAGAAGGAAACACAAGACAATTGTATGACACAAAAAAGAAACTCGTTGGAAATTACTATAAACCAGAACGACCAATGAAAAGCAAGGAAGGTAAGGTAATCATCAACATTGAAGAGCAACAAAACAGGTGGGTAGAACACTTCAAAAAACTTTTGAATCGATCAGCTCCACTGAACTCACCCAACACCGAAGCAGCACCCACGGACCTCCCAATCAATGTTGGCCCACCGACAATTGAAGAAATCAACATGACCATCAGACAAATCAAGAGTGGCAAATCAGCAGGACCAGACAACATTCCAGCGGAGGCACTGAAAGCAGATGTAGCGGCAACTGCAAGGATACTCCACATTCTCGTCAATAAGATTTAGGATGAAGAACAAGTACCAACAGACTGGAAAGAAGGACTTCTGATCAAAATACCGAAGAAAGGCGATCTCAGCAAGTGTGATAACTACAGGGGCATCACTCTTCTCTCAATACCGGGAAAAGTCTTCAACAGGGTATTGTTAAACAGAATGAAGGACTGCGTAGACGCCCAACTTCGTGACCAACAGGCAGGATTCCGTAAGGATAGATCGTGTACAGACCAAATCGCAACTCTACGGATCATTGTGGAACAATCAATTGAATGGAATTCATCACTCTACATCAATTTCATTGACTACGAGAAAGCATTTGATAGTGTGGACAGAACAACACTATGGAAACTTCTTCGATACTACGGCGTGCCTCAGAAAATAGTCACTATCATACAGAACTCATTTGATGGATTAAACTGCGAAATCATGCATGGAGGACAGTTGACAAAGTCGTTCGAAGTGAAGACCGGTGTCAGACAAGGTTGCTTACTCTCACCCTTTCTCTTTCACCTGGTGATCGACTGGATCATGAAGACGTCAACATCTGAAGGGAAGCACGGGACACAGTGGACATCTAGGATGCAGTTGGACGATCTGGACTTCGCAGATCATCAGGCCCTTCTATCGCGATCGCAACAACGAATGCAGGAGAAGACGACCAGCGAAGCAGCAGTCTCAGTAGCAGTAGGTCTCAACATACACAAAAGGAAAAGCAGGATTCGCCAATACAACACAGCATGCACCAATCCAGTTACACTTGATGGAGAAGATTTGGAAGATGTCAAAACCTTTACATATTTGGGCAGCGTCATTGATGAACAGGGTGGATCTGATGCAGATATGAAGGCGCGGATCGGCAAAGCAAGAGCAGCATATTTACAACTGAAGAACATCTGGAGCTCAAAGCAACTGTCAACCAACACCAAAGTCAGAATTTTTAATACAAATGTCAACACAGTTCTACTGTATGGGTCAGAAACCTGGAGAACTACGAAAGCCATCATCCAGAAGGTACAGGTGTTTATTAACAGTTGTCTACGCAAAATACTTCGTATCCGTCGGCCGAACACTATTAGCGACAACCAACTGTGGGAAAGAACATACTAGATCCCAGCGGAGGAAGAAATCAGGAATAAACACTGGAAGTGGATAGGCTACACATTGAAAAAAGCACCCAATTGCGTCACAAGACAAGCCCTCACATGGGATCCTGAAGGCCAAAGGTAGAGAGGAAGATCAAAGAACACATAAGTAAGTAACCCTATCAGTAATCGGAACATCGCATCACGTGACCTCGGCACTGTGCGAAACCGGCAACGCGTTAACCAGTACAAGCAGACCAGAGTCAACCCTGGATCTTCATTGGTTCTCGTTGTCTTGCCCTACCTTTTGAGTTTAGAACACAATATCTTACTTACTTACTTACGCCTGTTACTCCCAATGCAGCATAGGCCACCGACCAGAATTCTCCAACCCACTCTGTCCCACTCTGCCTTCTTTTCTAGTTCCATCCAATTCTTGTTCATTTTTCTCATGTCTATCTCCATTTCCACCGCTGCATTAACTTTCTGAGGAACAGACTAGTATGAATACATATATTAGTGACTACACATGTGCATCTATACCTTTTGATCAATACACATTTCTTACACTTTCAGTCTTTTCATGTGAGCAGTCTATCAGGCTCGGGTGTAGGAAGATTGGGTGTCAGTTTAGACTGTTTAATGCACCACGTCGCACGTATCATTCTTTAGATACTGTTTGAGACATTATGATGCATCAACTAGATAAGCGAGTCATAATACGGATAAGGACAATTTATTTGACCTCCAACCATCGAAATCTACTAAAATATTTAGATATTCACTGCCCAAAACAATTCGTTTGTTAGGCATCCCTTGAGAACACCCGTGATTGAATACAAAGTTGACATGATGCAGAATAACTTTACTACTTCACAACTTCACAACTTCACTCAAAAGCTGATAACCATGTTGCTTCAATATTTTAGTACTTCCGGATAATATATTTTCTTAGTGATTATTGTCGATCAACATAATGAGCTTTTTGATTACATCTTGTAAGCCTCTGATAGTTTGATTTATACAGAGTATTTGTAATAAGCACTTATGAAGAATCGTTGTCCAGAGATGTTTCTGAACTGACGTAGAACTACCACAGTTGATAGCATAAAGTCCGAGGTTGAGATAGTAACCTTAGTTAGTTT